TGCAAGCACGCTCTAGCACTGCGTCCATGCTATCAAATACATAGTTGTTAATTATGTACAATCGACGCTCTAAGGCGCCGCGCAAACGTGATCTTGTGTTGAAAATTCCTTTTTGGTCGTTTGTAGTCATGTAATGTAATTAAAGACCAATTTGGATTAGAAAGTTTCTTGAATCATTCTTTAATGTTGCAATAAGGAAGTCATACCAACGACTCACAGGTTAAATGTTAAGTTTGTTTAACATGTTTCTTCACACTGATCTGCTTAGAACCAAATAATATGTTAGAGCGTCAGCAGCTTGATTTTGATTGCGTCTCCCGATCGGAAACTGCGTCTCTTCCGAGTCGAGACGCGTAATTGCGATTCACAACTGGTCGATCGGAAACTTTTGACATTTCTAATCGGAACAATTGTAGTTGATTTAACTTACACATTAGAAAAATATAGTAGGAATCAGGTTCATCTTCTCGCTCGGAAACCCATCTGATTTCGAGACTACCCGATCGGATCGATTCCGATTTGAATCAAAATCTAGACGCAGGTGTGTCTTATGTTGGATACAAGCAACCAGCAACTAGAAGCGAATATTCTATTGTCATACAATTGATGTGAAATCAACCCAGTCGCCGGTTACGGCATATTGGCACAGTCGCCGGGTGCGCAGTCGGACATTGTCGCGCCGCCGGTTGCCGCAATATGAATTGTATGAAAGAAGAATATTGGCTTCTAGCTGCCTGTCGCCGCTTGTATTCAACACAAGACACACCTGACCTCAGTGATCGCCAGTAAGGATTCCGACGAGGGCGATCTACTGGGGATCTTCTTGTGTATGCCTGTCACATATGGAACGAGGCTATAGAAAAGCAAGGCGAAGCACTTGTAGTGTCTTTCGACATTTCTAAAGCCTTTGACAGGGTCTGGCACGAAAGCCTCAAACTCAAACTCAAACTCAAAATAATCTTTATTTCATAGGTAAGCATTATTACACTTGAAATCGTCACAATGGTTAAACTCTACCGCTCATTCGTAAGGCAGATTCCCCTGAGAAGAATGAGCAAGAAACTCTAGGGGTTGCTCTATGTAAATAGCATTTACAATATTTTTTTTATTTTTATTTGAAACATCAGAGATCGAGACTACCTCCATGAGCTAAACGGGTTACTACCACGGATTTTTGTCATCCAAGTACGCAGAAGTTGTATAATAACCTTTAGTATAAAGTTTTTGTTTCACTATAGTTTTAAACCTCGAGAAAGGCAAATTTTGTATATCAACCGGAATCTTGTTATAGAAGCGTATACATTGCCCCTTAAATGATTTTTTGACTTTGTGAAAACGACTATCAAGAAAAGCTAGTTTATTTCTATTCCTCGTATTAATGTTATGTCTGTCACTATTTTTCATAAATAGATTACTATTCCTTTTAACATAAATTACATTTTCATAAATGTACTGTGAGGCTAGTGTAAGAATGTTAATTTCCTTAAACTTATCTCTCAAAGATACTTTGGGGCCCAGATTGTAAATTGCCCTAACTTCACGTTTCTGCAGGACAAAGATTCTATTGATATCGGCGGCATTACCCCAAAGCAAAATGCCGTATGTCATTAGACTGTGAAAGTAACTGAAGTAAACCAATCTAGCGGTTTCGACGTCTGAAAGTTTCCTTATTTTTTTAATCGCGTTCACTGCAGAGCCGAGCCGTTTTGATAACTTACTTATATGGGGACCCCATTGCAATTTAGCATCTAACGTTATACCTAGAAATACAACTGTATCCACAAGATTCAATTTTTCATTTCTAACTACAATGTTTGTAACCGTCTCTCTAACATTGGGTAATGTAAATTTCACACAATTTGTTTTTTTCTCATTAAGAAGTAGGTTATTAACAGCAAACCAATCAATTACTTTAGATATAGCATTGTTCACATCGTCATAGGAACATTGGTGCCTTTTAACTTTAAATAATAAGGAAGTATCATCAGCAAACAATACTATCTCATGTTTTATACTCTCCATAAGGCTAGGTAAGTCATTAATATAAACTAAAAATAAAAATGGGCCTAGAATTGAACCTTGAGGGACACCCATGCTAATTGCAGATCCTGACGATCTCGTACCGTTAACATCGACCCTCTGTACCCTACCACGCAAATACGATTTAAGAAGGTCGAGATCACGTCCCGCCACACCATAATGGCGAAGTTTCCTGACCAGTGTATCATGGTGCACACAATCAAAAGCTTTGGAAAGGTCACAGAATACACCAATAGCATCATGTGAAACTTCCCATGCATCAAATATATGATTAATCAACTCGACACCAGCATCGGTTGTAGAGCGACCCCGAGTGAAACCAAATTGCTTAGGAGACATTAAGTTATTACTATAAAAATGTGCACACATCTGATTTAGAATAATTTTTTCAAATATTTTACTGAGAGTTGGTAGTATTGATATAGGTCTGAAATTGGTGGGGTCAGAAATACTACCAGATTTGAAAAGTGGAATAACTTTACTTTGCTTCATGAGGTCAGGAAAGACACCATCATCAACACATTTATTAAAGACACAGGCCAAATAAGGCGCAATACAATCAACTATAGAACTAATAACTCTGACTGAAAGACCATCAAGATCAGCTGTATTTTTTATGTTTATAGACTTAAAGGCTTTAACAATATCGTTTGGAAATACATGACGGAACCTTAAATTAGTGATACTAACTGCATTATTTTCTTTTAGTAAGGATTCAGCGGCGGTGGGAGATGAATTTAACGACTTAGTAGTCAAAATTGGAATGTCAGTAAAAAAATTTTCAAATATTTTAGCAACTTCTGCGTCTGTGTTTACAATTTTGTCATTAAATCTTAGTTGAAAATCTAAGTTACGAGGTTTGACCCTTCCAGTTTCGCTGTTTATAATATTCCAAGTCGTTTTTACTACATTCGCGCTGCTTTTTATTTTATTATTTATAAACATTGCTTTGGCTGCAACACAAACACGTTTAAACATTTTCGAATATTTCCTAACAAAATCATTAAAACTGTTACTAGTGTTATAAGTCCTTTCATCGTAAAGATCATATAGTCTTTGTCTACTTTTGTGAATTCCCACAGTCGCCCAATCACTAAATTTCAATGAATTATTAATAGTTATGATTTTGGACCTAAAAACGTTATCACGTTCACTTTTGACTATGTTGAAAACTGAATTATACAATTTATTGGGATCGTTAACGTACGGAAGTTCAGTTAGTTTAAGCATTACATTATTTCTACAAGCTTTAAGTCGACCATTATTTATCGGAACACATGTGATATCCTTTTTTGGCATTTTGTCAACAGTTATATTAAAAGTGGCCAATTGACCGCAGTGATCAGAAGTTAATTTATTTATAATAGATTTATTACTAGGTACGGCGTTAGTATAAATATTGTCTAAACAAGTGGCAGTAGTAGAAGTTATTCTAGTAGGCACCAAGAAAAGATTCACAAGATTATAACATTGGAAAAATGATATTAGCCTACTGCTAGCCTTTTAAGTAAGCTTCCCTCTTATGGGCTTCCCACTCACCTTTGCAATTGGATCTCGGATTTCTTAAGTGAATGTTCGATTTGAGTGGTCTTAGAAAGCTACACTTCCGAACATATGGCGATAGGTGTTATATATGATGCCGGAGTTCCTCAGGGTTCCGTACTGTCTGCTGCATATCAATGATATGTTAATTCCAGGAACCTTTGCGTATGCTGATGACAGCACAGTTATAGATAGGTACTTGAACAATGCAAGCGTCAGTGGAGAGGAAATACAGTCTTGTCGAGAGTCCGTTAGCTGTTTGGATTTGACACTCCAGGCAGTCTTCGATTGCAGCGATGCCAATCTTGTCAAATTTAACGCTACCAACTACTCAGGCGTGCCTATTCTCCACAAAACGGAATTCTTTCGAGGTAGCTCCGATTTTTCGTGATATATCGAAATACTGATAACCGACTGCCTCCAGCTACTTGGAATGGACCTGTCGTCCAATTTGAACTTCGGCAGATACATTGAATCCATGGCCAAAAATGCAGCAAAAAGCTTGGCATCCTTTCCAGGGTGAGGCGTTACTTTACACCGGGACAGTTGCTTCAGCTGTACCAAGCACAAGTCCGGTCGTACATGGAGTACTGCTGCCACCTTTGGGATGGCTCTGGTACATATCAACTAGCCACTTTGGATTCGATTGACAATCGTACCAAGAGGCTTATTAGTGACTCGGAATTAGTGAAGGTGAAGCTGCAAAGCCTTGAACACCGCCGTAAAGTTGCCTGCTTCTCGGTATTTTACACAACAATATATATACAACGGAGAGTGTGCGATGGAATTACACGATTTAATTCCGCCTTCCCCTTTCCATCACCGGGGGACTAGGCGTAGGCTTGGCTTCCACCCCTATGTTGTGGATATTCCAAAGATTTGTACGAAGCGTTACGCTTCCACGCTTATATGGCGAACGGCTATGGAGTAGAATTCCCTGCCTGCAGACTTATTCCCTGAACGTTATAACTTGGGCCTTTTCAAGGCGAGAGTGAATAGGCATTATTTAGGTGTTCAGGCATGCTCCATCGTCGACCTCCATCTCACCTGATGTGCACTTATATTTTGTATAAAAAACCTGTAACCGACTATTTGGGTCTGAGTAGATCAGTGTGAAACCTGTGAATCGTAAAATTCATGTTGGTATGACTTCCTATTGCAACATCAATGAATGATGTTTCAACAAACTTTTTTAGCCAAATTAATCTTTAATTACATTACATGACTACAAAGAACTAAAAGCCTGGTATTTCTTTACTCTTTGCCGTTGGATGTGTAAGAAAGGTCTCAGAACCAAAAGGTCAAAAGCATTGACTGTACGTAGCTTCAAAATAAGCGTGCTCATTATATAAACGCTTCCTTTTGTAAAAAGTTTTAAATATTATCCAAATAATGTAATCTTTTTATTTTTCTTGCAGCTAACAGTAGTAAAGGCCACATCAAAAATAGTACTTCATGCCCAGGATTTCGAAATACAAAAGGACAAAGTCTCATTCACACACAAGTCCGCTCCAGCAGTGACGTCTGTAGAACTGATGGCCACATACAATTTCCTCACTATACAGCTGGCAGAACCGCTAAAGGCTCGTGTGAATTACACATTGTCTATTCCTTTTTACGGCAACTTAAAAACTGGATTGGACGGAGTGTATGTAAGCACTTATAATGATAAAGCCACTAAGAGTAAACAGTAAGTATGTTCTGTAGCTATAATTTTATTTATTTATTTGCAAACTTTTTAAATCCGATTTATATTCTTAAATCACGAACCTACTTAGCCGTTTACAAAATTTGTCATTTAAACAATTCAAGTTAGATTAAAATTCTTATGACTTATGACAAAGTGAAGCTACGGTAAACATTATTATTACATTTAAATCAACAAAATTACAAATAACACACACATGGACGTACGTCTAATTGCAAGGAGATTACATGCACGTGTGGGTGTATATGAGTGTGTGAGCATGTATGAATTATACGCCCACAGCTAAACACGTTTGGGATTCAAAAAGTGCCAATATCAGTTTAAATAAATAAATAAGTATTTTGAAAACCAAAAGTCTTTTACTAAGGTATATATTGTAGGTCGTGATATTTTAGGGACACGCTGTTTGTGTGTAGCGACTTATTGATTAATGTTGTAAGTTGAATATTGCGATGGTTATCAAGAAATTTATCATGACTGTGAAGACGAAAATACTATTCAGTCTATTGCCAAACAAGGCATCACCGTCATATCATGTTGCGCCTATAAATTGTACGTTTATTACGGATTCTCTTTTGTAGTTTGGAGTGTTTAAGCTTATTTAAAAAAATGTTTTCGCAGGTACCTAATAGTAACACAATTCGAAGCTATTTCGGCCAGAAAAGGCTTCCCGTGTTTCGACGAGCCGATCTATAAAGCCACCTACCGTATCACCATTGGCCATCAAAATGAATACAGCGCTGTCTCTAACATGCCGCTGGAAAGCTCCAGTAAAGTAAAGTAAGTTTTAAGAACCCGAGGAAACCATAGCCAGTTTCTTAATTTCTTTTGAAAACTATGTATAGCTTATTCGTACGCGCTAACAGAAGTTCTGAAGCCGTGGCAAATTCTGTGCGTGCTAGGTTAAGCTTCACTTCCAAAAGCGCGATCCTTTGGTTGGGTTTGGGCGGGTAAACCTCTTACCCAGATGTAGGGAAGTGGAAAGCGCCAAGCTTCACTCAACCCGAGTATGTCTCTCCTTTATTGATATATTTTGTTTTCGGTCTATCGATACTGAACTGTTTTTTTATTGCTACAGTGCTCTCGAGAATTATTGGCCTTGGTCTCAAGTTGAAAAAACATTCAAGTAAGTACTTATTTATTTCATTCTATTATTAGCATGAATTTGATTATACTTATTGACTTTTATACTGCTTACCTTGAAAAAGAAGAAGAGTGTTGTACACTTTTTAAGGAATGGTAGTATCTATTTTAACTGTACATAATACAGCTATTCCAAATATTTTGGTTGAGTATGAAACAGCTGTCGTTAAGTACCATTATTCATTAAGGTTTGGGCCACGAATTAAAGAATTAATATATAAATTAAAATGTACAGGAAAGATGAATCGATGTTTGTCTGGGACGTGTTCCAAGAGTCAGTGCCGATGTCCACTTATCTCGTTGCTTTCGTTGTATCGAAATTGGCGAATGTTAAAAGTCCGGCAGGACTGTCCAGCACCGAATTCCGTATATGGGCTAGAAAGGATGCTATTGACCAGGTAATGTATTTGCCATTTAAAAATCGCCTATCTCGCATTAAAGATTCACTTTAGAAAACATTATAAGCGCCCAGATAGGGGAACGGAAGGTAGAACGGACCACATGAAAAAAATCAACGTAAAAGTAAAAGTCAAGATAATAGGGACCACACATGAAGGTAAAATGGACCGATAAAGATATGAGAGAAAAATGAACGATTAGTGCACTTACTCAAAAGCACACCTTCACAAACAAACCTAACTTCTTCATTGTCATCCTCAACGAGGGCACAACTACAATGTGCCCATTACGAATACTCTGGGCACTGAACCCATCCTTCAGTTGATTCAACACATGTGAACAATAAAAACATCGAACATTTTCTTTTTCGCTGTATGATATCTTAATATTGCTTCTCTTTTTATTAACTTTTTCAGTGGATTTCTCTTTGCATGTTCGTGTGTTTACCGATTTTTTTGCATTCTCTAAGGTTAAGTGTCATTTTACGATTTGCTACCTTTTCAATTGCACTTTTCATATCCTCTTTACGCTAAGATTGTCAATCTGACTTTTTTATAGCTGTTTAGATGGTCCGTTTTGCCCGTTCCATTTTGCCTTTTTAGTAAGTATGTAAATAGTCAAATGTTGAGTGGTTAATTAGCAGTGGACTTTGTTTATTGCATCGTTAAAATAAAGTGAAATAAAGAGTAATTAGATCAAAACCTCTTTGAAACGAATATGAATTGCAAAATAAAAGTAAGGTAAGGTAAAGGGCTACTCAAAATTTGCTTTTTTTTACATCAAAATTCTCAAAAAATAACTTACCTTGATAAAAACGGGTCCTATCGCATGTTAGAGAGAGGCGACCACCAAGTGGACGTAAGTCGGTAATAGATGACATTAGTAGTTTCATAGTAAATGCGCGGTCCGTTTTACCCACAGGTTCCGTTTTACCTTCCGTTCCCCTACACGGCGTGAAAGTCATCGCGCGAGCGCCGCGCGGCAACCGCCCAGTTACCACGCTTTCACGTACCTTAATCTGCACATCTGAATTTTACTTACTAGGCAACAACATGTGAATTCCTCGGAACTTTAATTTAAAACGTGAAAGCTAAACAAATAGAGCGTACTTTGCCTTGACAGTTAGACGCACGCGGTCGCTGCGCAGCGTGAGCGCGATGAAATTCGTATCGAATAAACGCGCCCTTCCGCTGCTGTCTATCTCCTTCTTAAAGCTACCAACAGACGGACTGGACATCTGCAGTTAATGCGTGCAGTTGTGATTATGCAATCGAGTCGTCGTCGACTGTATACAGTCGAGATTTCAACTGCACGCAACCAAGAGTTGAACTGCTAGCGTCGGCTGCATTCAATGTGAATGATAGGCTGAGAATCAAAAACAGCAGTTGACATCCTAAAGAGAATATGATAAAATGATTTTTTTGTGTCTGAAGGTCGCAGTAACATAGTCGTGTAACAAGAAAAGTTTAAAAAATTAAAGGAAAAATTAATTTATCATGTTCTAAATCTTTCTTGTAGACAACCTACGCAGCGACGATAGGCCCAAAAGTGCTATCTCATTTCGAGAAATTTTTCAACGTGTCCTTCCCTCTGCCGAAGCAAGACATGTTTGCCATTCCGGACTTCTCCGCCGGTGCTATGGAGAACTGGGGGCTGATTACATACAGAGAAACTTCGCTGTTGTATGATAAGGAACAATCTTCTTTTACCAATAAGGAACGCGTAGCTGAGGTGAGTCGACTTGTGTAACAAGACATTTGCATTTTATCTGTTTTTATTGTGCTCAATTGCTCAGGTATGGCTGCCCCATGAATTGCCGGGCGTGGGGGAACTATTTCGACCACTCATTGCAGGGGAGTCAATCAACACATTGAATTATGAACACACGTAGTGCAACAGTTGTTGCGTCCTACCTCCATGGATGGCTAACATACTGACTGGACACTCGCTAGACTTTGAAATTAGACAAACCGTTAGGACATAGACGACTAGGAAGTCTACCACGAAATACGAATTAACGATCATCGTTTTAACTTCGCATCGGATCGGAAGCTACCACGAAACGAGTACAAAGATCGTATGAGCTTCGTTGCGGATACAGTCACGTATTATCGTATTTCGTGGTAGACTTCCTGACGAGAGCCTGACTTCCTCACTTACAAATGTACAGAGACCAATCAACAGCCATTAACGAATCTTTTGAGTTCAGTTCAATGGTTGTAAAAATAACCATAATTATATATTTTTTATAGTTAATCAAAATATACTTTGACGGTAATAACAACATGATTGGGAAACCTCACATTTTTAATTGAGCTACCTTAGTGGTGTAACAACAACGCACTATGTTTAACTCATTGCGCGGGATATGAGTTAACACAGTAACATTTTTCAGGTAATAGCCCACGAATTAGCTCATCAATGGTTCGGAAACCTAGTAACAATGAAATGGTGGTCAGATTTATGGCTGAACGAGGGGTTCGCGACATTCGTGGCCTCCATTGGTGTGAACGCCGTTGAACCGACGTGGCAAGCCGATATTAACAATGCAGCTGACAATATCCTGATCTTGATGAACTTGGATGCTTTGGAGTCTTCACATCCGGTAAGTCTTTAACTTTTTACCTAAAACGGCGCAGATAAAGCAAGCGTTCCATTGTTCACTACTAAGTAGGTGTGCAAAATATAGAAGCGCCTGCTAATGCTCTGAGGCACTGATGTGATGCACGGAGTCAATCGTCAGCACGGGATGGTTTCTCTACATACAAATATTGGATTTCAGCTATAGGATATCGCGATCATGAACCGCATTCTTAAATTGCAATTATCGCTCCGTGATATCATCAGACTGTACCTTTTTCCTCAATTGTAAGCATAATATAGGTATAAGATTTGTATTTAGCGACAAATTAGCGCCCTTGAGGTTCCTAGGTTGCTATTTTGCAAAAAAGCCGCCTGTTGATAAAACGATAGGGTTTCCCTTTGTAAAGATCAAATTTTTAGTTCAGAGTGACGCCAGTAGTCTTCAATCACTAAAAATTCCAGGTGTCAGTGCCCCTGGACCATCCGGATCGTATCAGCGAGATCTTCGACGAAATTTCGTACAAGAAAGGTGCCACGCTCATTCGGATGATGACATTGTTCCTTGGACCGGACGTGTTTAGGAAAGGATTGCACAAGTAGGTTCGATATTTATGCTATAATGGTACTGAGGTTTATAGCAGATCTTACTAAATGATTCCTAGGTCTCATGACATTTTTGTCAACTGTGACTTAAATGCTATTATTGATTATTGTTCCTCTACCGTGGTTTGCGGGGCCAGGGGGAAGATCCCTGAGAATTGGTTAAATCCGCAGATCACTTCAAGAGCATTTCCTTCGTAAAATATTTCCTTACCATTTGTCATCTCATTTCATCGTTTTTTTAGCTACCTGATAAAATACTCCTATGGCAACGCTGACCAAGACGATCTATGGAAGGAACTGACGGATGTGTCATTGGAGTATGGAGGACTGACCAGAAACGTGACGGTCAAAGACGTCATGGACACTTGGACCACGCAGACTGGTTACCCGCTAATTACCGTTACACGGGACTACACAGATAACACTTTGTTTGTTACACAAGTTAGTTATTACTATTATAAGTTTACAAGTTTATGAGAAATATTTGAACAAATATTTCTTTTTTCTTGCATGAGTGAGATGTTACAGCGTGTTAAGAAAACTTTTTTTATTTTCTAGTCAACCTTTAATTGAAAAGTATGACTTTTAGTATTTTTTCTAGGATGCTACTACTCAAGTTTGATTCCTGATCTATTTTTCACTGTTTTGATTTTGTCGCTTCTTGGTGCTGTATTTCGCCTTAACCTAGCCTCGCCTGACCTAGTAGGCCCAGTATTGCATTCTTCGTGTTTGAAAGACGGTCGCATATTAAAAGTAATTTTCTCTTTGTTATTGATGATTGGGATCGTCTTTCTTTCTAGATAAAATATAAATAAATATGAAATTTTTTACATGGAAAATATTAACTTCCTTTGTTAAAGTAATTTAAAGCCGGGTGCAGATTATTTGCAACGCTACATTTACCATGCATTCTAATGTGCAAACACACTGCGCGTTCACTACGCGCATTCACAGCGCGCACGTTGTAATTCGTCGATTGTTGGCTTTTCGACAATCTTTTTTTAAAAATACCAAGTGACACGGGACGAACAAGTCGTGCGCCTGGTAGTAAGCGATACGCCTATCCATAGCAGTTACGGTGCCACTCAGAGCTTTAAATCGTAACGATCTTTAGAGTCATTGTCACTGCGCCCATAACCGTAACACTTTTACCCTTTCAAACCGGAACGCAGTAATAATCATATTACTGCTTGGCGGCAGCCATAGGTGAGGTGGCAGTACTTCCTTGGACGAATTCTTTCACAAGGAGATTTACTGCTATTAAACATTTTTAGTGCCCGAAGTACTGTCCATAGATGTTCGCGTTGCATTGCATGTTGCGTTGCAAATAATCTGTACCGAGCTTTAGGTAATATTTAAAGTCTGATTAGAATTTAATGTCACATCATAAGTCAGTTTATTTTTTAGAACAGTATACGCCATCTAGTCAACATAAACTAAACTACTGGAAAAGTATGTTTGAATAATATCTACACGTGTACACCGTGTGAAATAATTTCTCAAACTATGTAAAACAAATTTGCTTAAGAGTCAAAACTACGTCAGCTCAATTCAAAGTTTTCACGTACTAATACGGTTCATTTTACTAAGTTCGAATGGCAGGGACATTTTTTCCATCGTAAAATTTTTAAGAATGTTTTCACACCGTATACGAATCAGTGTATATGCTCAATTCTACTATATATTTTTCCAAAGTGAATGATTTAACACTTTCACTTTTATTTATTTAAGGACAGCCAGTGGTAGATACAATAAATCTACGGAATAATGAAGATTTAAAAATACATTTAATTCTAATTGCACTACCTGTAGGTGCCACAACATGCAAAGAAAACAAAAAGACAATTTAAGCAATGACAGCGGGTATAAATGGAATATAAACAAAACAAATTCTAATTAATATTAAGTAAAGATATATAGAATAAAATAAACATTAGTAGTTGCGCCCAGATGAATTCTTTCGTATTTTAGATTTAAAAACATGGAGCGAATCGTTGAACATATCTATTGTTTGATCAGGCGCGTTAAAGCTTCTTGACAATCCGGTCCTAGAAGGCGGCCGATGGAGTAGTGCGACCGGGTGACGGGGCACCCGGCTTGGGACGCGTGTTTTAAGTAATTGTAAAAGAGGAGTACAATCTATTTCGTTTCTCAGGGTTTTATACGTGAAAACCAGGTCTAACATACGTCTGCGGTCAGTTGAACTCTCCATTTTGAAATGCCCTAGTTTATCCAAATAGGTTGGCAGTTCATTACGCCTTCTACATGCGTTTGTAAGATGCCACAAGAATATCTTCTATATACGTTCCATTCGTAACTGCACTGCATATTGCGGCGACCACACAATACTGCAATATTCTAGAGTACTTCTTACATATGCGTTGTAAATAGTTATTTTCGTACTGGGATTTTTAAAAATTTTACCATTTCTCATGATGAAACCAAGCAGTTTGGAAGATTTGGCTATTATTTTATCGAGATGTGGTAGAAATGTAAGTTTACTATCAAAAGTAACGCCCAAGTCGCGTATTTTATGCGAAATCAACCAAAGCCATTTGAGGTTGTATCCACTCTTAAAGTAAAAACTAACCTATCTATCAAATAAGCAGTCACCCCTTTAAATTTAAATTTATAACAATAATTTCTTTGGACTAATCACTAATGTTTTGAATTTAAACGCATTACAGACGCGATACCTCAGTTCTGGTAAGAAATCACCAACTAAAGTCTCCTGGTGGATTCCACTCAGCGTGATGTGCGAGTCTGAAGTGGGACAAAAGCCGGACCCTGTGCAGTGGTTGGCTAACAATGAGGGTGTGGAGACCAAGGTAGGTACAACCACCGAAACTTACACTAATTATAGCGAAACTTGTACATACTTAGTATTGTTTCAAGATATATAAAAGTGTCCACACTGAAAAAACAATATGATTGAAATAGATCAAATAACTCTTTCCGTTGTAATATGTTCTAAAGACTCTCAAAGCATTCATTGCAGCAACCATTAAAAAAAAAATTATATTCTAGGAATAGATTTGTGCAAAAATCTCTTCGATACTCCCTCAGAGTCATCAATTACCTGGTCTCAAGGTAGGGAATTCCCTGTGCTATGAGCACCAGAACAACGGAATTAACACCAGAACTGATTTAGAAAAGTTCACTTACCAAATTGGTCCCATCGACCCGGATGTTTCGCTGGATGATGAGGTCCCGGGTTCGACTCAACTGATGGCTTTATAGGCACTGCTTAATAAATAAGTAATAATAATTGTTTAGGAAATGAAACTATTTTTCCGGATTTGAATCGCGTATATTTGTTTTTTCAAACGAACCGACGTTTCGGGTTTCCCATGGTCACGGTTGACTGGGACCTGTAAAGGGGCCGAAACGTCGGTTTGTTTGAAAAAACAAATATACGCGATTTAAATCCGGAAAAATAGTTTCCTTTCCTATGTGTAACAATCGCGAAAACCTAAGAACTCGAAAATAATAATTGTTGCTAAATAATGGAAAGACGAATTTCTTCGTAACGTTTTTTTGCGGATCCGAAACGCATATATTTTCAAACGAAAAAATGTCTAGTTTAATGCTTCTAGCGGAATATATTGTCGTGTAAGTTTTCATATGCAATGCGACTACATCTTACTTATATAGTTTTAATACATACATGTATAATACCTACTTGTTGTATGTACATAAGTATTTAATTCACTGGTTTCGCAAAAACATTAAAATCGCTTTGCAATTGGAACTGAACATTTTACAATGATATTACATTCTGATTTTGCGATGATATTATATAGGTCATTTTATGTGATTTTCTTTTGTCATCAGCATCACTTCGAACACTCTGCGAACGCAAATGAATGGATCATTTTCAACCCTGATATGATTGGTAAGTTCAGCTATATTTCCATTTATTATTTACGAGACCTACAACACATCGCACACCTCATGGAAGAAAGCATAAGTTACGTCAAAAATGTTTATTGCACCATTGGATACAGAAAAATATAACCCACACACTCTCCGATACTTGTAACGCTATCGACAATATTAGTCGATAGAGTTACAAGAATTGGAGAAGATGTAGGTTATATTTTTCTGTATCTAATGAAGCAATAAACATATATAACTTTACTTGTGCCATTCTTCCATCGCCGTCAATCCGCCTCACTGTTGGACACGCGTCTTTCATCTATGGAGATAATTTATGTCATTATTTCGTCATGCTGTCCTAATGCGGATTGAGAACTTGACTTACTGTCCAAAAATGGGGGAAACGTCTTCAACGTGCAGGTTTCATTACAATGTTTTCCTTCGCCGGTAACGAGAGGTATTATTATATCTATGGGTATTATACTATTAAATATTCACAAGAGTACTTTAAATTCAACTCTATAAATTTCACGGGAGGAGTAAATCCTCCTAGATACTGTACGGTCGTACCATACAGCACGCGCGGCTCCACTGACAAGGTGTTATTACTCAGTCTCCTACGGACTAAAACCTCCTCCCTTCATCCTGCCATCTGCCTCATTGCATTTAACTGCCTCCGTTATTTCTCTCATGAGTTTGGTTGTAATTTGTGATTGTCTACGTGTGTGTCCATGGCACCCGCGACACAGGGCCTTCCATATTGCGGGGCTATGTTGAGTGTGTGCGTTACTATATTAATATATATTACTATATCACGAAGGCGCATGTCTCAGATACCGGCATTCACTGTGACATTGTCTATCCCGCCTTTTTCTCGTTTACTTATAACTAGTTTTGGGTACCCTACACATCTTTCCCAATGCTCTCTGCTTTTTAGCATGATTGCCGCGAAATTCTCTTTAAAGAGCACTTCATTTTTTTGCGCCATCATCGGTCTTTCGTTCTTAAACGCCTTACATTCGAACAGAGCATGCTTCGGTCTGTCTACTTCCCCACAGTAGTAACATTCCTCGCTCTCTTCCTCGCCTATTGCATACAGATAAGTATTAAATACTCCAAATCCATTAAGCGCTTGCGTAAGCAGTCTGTCTAAATTCAACTCTATACTCTATGACACTTGCAATAAGGACTCTTGAATGTACGTGCCGCCTCAAGGATTCGAACCGTAGACTACCACCACTCTAACACTAAAATGATATTCTTATTTTATCTAACGGATGTCAAAATTATTGCCTAAGACAGGAATATTCTGTTACGTATTTACAAATTGACGCAGTAAGTACATGGTAAAAATTGTGTTTGTAGCACCATATCGCATAAACTACGATCAGCGCAACTGGAAGCTGTTGATCAACACGCTGTCCAGCGACAAGCTCACCAACATTCCAGTTCTCGGTCGTGTACAGGTCCTTTCCGACGCCTTCGCGCTCGCTTGGAGCGGAGAAGTCGACTACAGCATTGCTTTGCAGTGAGTACAATCTACTATGTCTCGACAGCTGTAGGCTATCGGCTGCTATCCTATGGTCTTTAAGACGCAGGAGGCAAACGCATGCGACCAATCTCTCTCTCTAGTATTGATGGTTCCTGTATGATTCCCTCTTACGTCTCACAAAAGATGACCTTGCAATTTTCTAAGCAATCTTGCTACAGAAAGAAATAAGAGGTATCAGGAAGTTTTTATCGTTCCTTATTCTCCAGGGCAGCGAGTTACCTCCAACGTGAAAAAGAATACCTACCTCTATCTACCGGTCTCCACGCCTTATCCAAGATCGAAGCTCTCGTCAAACGCTCGCCGGATTATGGTGCGTTCCAGAAGTTCGTGCGAAAAGTTATTGGTCAGCAGTACAAGCAGGCTGGAGGACTTTCTATTAAGAAGATCATTAATGGAGATAACGTGAACAGCGTTAAAATGCAGGTTGGTTATGCTAAAAAATTTGGTTTAGATTATTTTAGTACGTCTCTTCTTATTGTATCGATGTACACTATGGTACTCGCCGATTATTGCACGTAGTGCACCAGGCGTATAGGAAAATAATGGTAATAAATAATTAATTATAGCTATTAAGGTGATAATAATAACTATTTAATAATGTAAATTTGTAAACAGTTGTTCTGTCTTTCGACTCATGTTAGTAACAAACAGTAATGTTTCTACTGTGTTTCATTGTGTAGTTTGTATTTTGGCTTAGTCTGGAATATTGTTAATTTCTGATTAGTATTAAGTTCTCATTTAAGTGACAATTGTCTAAATGAGTATAAAGTAATTGAGTGTTTTTATTGAAGGTCAAGTATTTTTAGCACCATGATATTAATTTATTTTTTGTGAAGTTTCATTCCGTGGTTTAGTTGGCATAGCGTCTGGCATGGTTTGCTAGCAGACGTCGGTTCGAATCCAGCCGGATCGAAGGAATTTTATCTAAGTGATATCTTTGTATTGATAATTATAACAAAGCTAGTGGAGTAATTTCACAAAAAATAATTAAGTGTCATGGTGGTGAAATATCTTGACATTCAATAAAAACGCTTAATTACAATGAATAGCGACATCTCTAGCCAGGGCTGGTAGCTGTAAAGGTGCCTAACTGGATGACGAAATACTTTCATAGATTTGTCATGTCATGTCATGTCGGCTAAAAAGTCGTTAAAAATCAGATACAAAGTTTTTTTTATAACATCAAGTGACGGGACGAACTAGTCGTGCGCCTGATGGTAAGCTACACGCCTGTCCATAACAGTTGCAGTGCCACTCAGAACTTTAAATTGCAAAGATCTGAGGAGCACTACCACTGCGCCCGTCACCCTGAGGCATAAGTTGACAAGTCCCATGTGCCTGTAATTTCACCAGCACCCTTACCTTTCAAAACCGGAACACAGCATAATTCAATGAATACCTGTTTTTGTTTACTTCAGACATTGACCAGTACCTGGGCGTGCAAAGTAAAGGTGCCCGGTTGCGAGGAGAATGCCGTGGAGCTCCTGCAGCAATGGATGGATGAGCCAGATCCGGATAACAACAATCCGTCAGTACACAGATATACAATTTTATAACGAACCTAGCAGTAGAAGTGGAAATGAAACTATTTTTCGGATCTAAAATCACGTCTACATTATTTTAGACCCAAAAAAGTAGTTTCATTTCCAATGTGTAGTATCGCAACATTCTAGAGTTTGGTGGTAACTCAAATTGATCTTGTCGTGAATTATGACAAAATTATGTTAGAAATCGGTAATCTCATCTCTTGGTCAGGAAATGATTTTGCGCTATCTACCAGTCATTACCCTGTCGAGGTTCGCAGGGTACGGAACGAGATGAACATTCGACAAATATTGAGCTCGTTAAAGATTAACGCAAAACTGAGAAAATGATTCGTTGAACGTTCTCGATTGTCAGGGAAACCACGGGCAGAACGACCTTATTTGATAATTTTTTTCCACATTACAACACAACATTACAAGGTTAGAAGTAACTTGACATTGACAACCATCTTTTGTTTCTTCCCCAGGATTCCTCTAGACCTTCGTCGCACAGTGTACTGCGTGGGAATATCCCGCGGCAGCGTACTCCAGTGGAGATTCCTGCTAGCCCGTTTAAGTAACACCAATGTTGCAGCTGCTCAGCAGGCGCTGCAGCAAGCCCTTGCTTGTACCAGGGAAGTCTGGATTCTCGCACAGTAAGTTCGGGATTCATTATATTTTTTTTTTACTTCTATGGCCTGTCAAGGTCAATCAAAGGTTCATTTACCCATAACATTGGTCACCAATGCCATTCTCAACATTTGTTAATACTTCATAGTATAAATGTGAGGAATGGAAAATATTCGTCCGATAATTTTTATGTTTTACTTCTTTTGGCTTACATTTTTCCACAATCTTACTTCCTGGAAAGTAAAAAAAGCAGATGAGGATGGTACACTTTCGCCTAGACTATTCCAGGTCATTCTGATTTTAAAGTTCTCAAAATAAATAGGTCTTCTGCAAGTTTGGCGTAGGGCGTATCAGTTTGATAGATAAGAAAGTCCCGGGTATTAGTTTCGCACTTTCTAAATTGGAACTGATTTTTTGATACCCTGGAGATAGATAATTACGGTTTTTGTGGCACTCGTAGGATGCTAGAACGTTCCAGAAAAAGGGGTTTAATCAACCCTTTAATTCAATATTTAAAAAAATTCTCAGATACTTGGAATGGGCGATAACGGACAACTCAGATGTGCGCCGACAGGACTCCGCGCGCGTGATCACCACCATCGCCACCTCCACCGTGGGGTACTACATCGCCAAGGACTTCATCTACAACCGGATCGACGACATCGCCAAGGCGTTAGTGCATCATTTGTTTAACCCATCTTGTCAACCTCTAAAAAAATGTGTCAGTTTGTTTCCCGCCAACCCAATAGACAAGCTCACATTTTACATGAGAAACAAAATTTTTTTGTCGATTGTGTCATACTATTTTGCTAAATAGATTTTTGTTAAGATTTTCCTCACGATTGCCGAGTGTTCAGAAATACACCATTTACTTAGTTATTCCTAATGCAGATTTTTTTGTTGAGGAAATAAACATATTACTTGTAAATTCTGCATATTAAGGCCAGCAAATTTTAATGACATCAAATTCACATCCGAAATTCCCGACCATAAAACCCATACACTCATAGCCTCGCACTATGGAAACCAACTTACAAGGCTATACTAATTAACCCCAGTAGGTACCGAAGTGATCAAAATAGATTTCAGAGCAGGTGGAATGACGAACGTAACAGGCTTCCCTTTAAACGGGGCATCATGTGATTTTTTTTTATAATATCAAGTGACAGAACGAACAAGTTTCGTAAGTACGTTCAGAGAAGTACTGCCACCTTACCTATTTCTGCCGCCAAGCAGTAATGTCAGCATTACGGTTTTCCGGTTTTGCGTAAGGTTGCGATTTAAAGCTCTTGAGTGGCACTGCAACTGTTATGAACAGGCATGTACGTTACCATCAGACGCACGACTTGTTCGTCCCGGCACTTGATATTATAAAAAAAAGTCCTCCGGTACCCTGAGACATAATTTCTGTGTAATGTGTAACACGAATTTATAAGCAGCGCAGTGGCAGTGCCTCTCAAATTTTTGCGATTAAAGCTCTGAGTAACTCTGCAATTGTTATCGCTTCCCAACAACCACACGATTATTCGTCTCATCATAACATAATGTCTTTGATTTCACAGAACAGCACATGATTTGAATTGAAACTTGACATGGTATGTGTACAGGTTCGCCGGACAAGGCCGAAGATTGGGCTTCGTTGTAAAGGCGCTTTTGAGTCAGTTCACAACGCAGAGGGAGCTTGACGAGGTACGGTCATTTTAATTGTATACAGTGTAACAAAATAATCGAATCCATTTTTACTATTACAAATCTCACACTTGGTGAATAAGGTCACATCGGCAAAATGGCAATTCATTCATTAAAATTCTACGAACGAAATGTGGTACAAGCACTTTGACGTATGGTCACTTGTGTCTTTATTAGAATCTACCAAGAGTATGAAATATGTATACATGTCTAATCTTTCGGTCATTAGTCTATTCTCCCGTGGTCTAACAGATGAATTTTGATTTTTTAAATGCGACCGGTGTTCCTCGACAATAACACCGTTGGCCGGAGACAGGGACTCGGATTCAAGAACTGGCGTACGATATGTGCCATGCAGACCAACATCGCCCTGCTTTATGCTGAAAACGACATGCCTCAGATCTAATTATATTATTATATTCACATAGAAAGCAAGGGATAACTAACATTTTCATTTGCAATTGAATAGATGATCCTATTGTAAACGTTTTTTAAATATATAATGCACAAAGTTATTTTAGCATAGCGTTAGAATTTGACAAGATCTAGCGTAAATCTTTTTTTAATAGGATGTGTTAATGTGTCGTAACGTTTTATTTGTCGTTGGACGACTGTCGTGTCTAGCTGTTCCCACTAGATTGTGCCAATAATTTATCGGTTCTCGGCAACCGTCTTGTCGTTTGCACGACAGAATCGTTTGAAGTTGCCATTATCTGTAGTCACATTTTTATCGTGATGTTTTATTATCTATCGTCGGACGACTGTCGTTCCAGCTCTTCCCATTCTCACGACAGTCTATCGTCGTAACGATAAAAAATTCGTGAACAACTTCATTTAAATATACAAGTCACGACATTTTAAACTGTACGATAATCTGTCGTCACGACATAATGGAAACGCGCCCTTACTATACATTTATTGTATTTTTCTTTATTTGCGTTGTATGTATTTTCAGTTCTTGGTTTGGAAGGATAACCACACAGACATCCTAGCAGAGCATCAGTTCTCGGTAACACAAGCTATCGAGAACGCCAAAGTGAATATCGACTGGGTCAATCGGAACCGCAAATTTGTCGTTGAGAAACTTAGAGAATTCGCCACGTAAGGAATGTGTGCTTTAAGACACTGCTGTGCGGTCTAGTCGTACTGTAGAACAAAATCGTAGTAATCAATGTGGTTAAACAACCAATAGAAGATCGTTATTTTGACATCATCACGCTTAGTCAAAATAGGGGCCTGCTATTGGTTGATAACACATGGTAGATCATGGGCCTCACACGCATGCCAGAAAAGCCCTACGTGTATGGATATAATACTATTTTTAGTTAACTATTATTGGTATTAAACACGTAGCACAAATTGTTAATGTAAGTAACTAATTTGCATGATTATTAGTTTGATTATAATTTTGTTGTGAAAAGTTAGAAAATATTGTACTTAATAGAAGTAAATTAGATTAACAAATTAGTAATTTTAAATATTCGAACAAAGCACGCACTCTGTACATACCTTGCACATTATATATACAATAATTATTGTACAAAAGTATTAATTGGTACATACAATGTCTAAAACTATAGTTCACATTTTGTTTTTTTTTTAAGTCATAAATCATAGTCACCCCAACAAGTACATAATAATTCACTTTTACTTATTGTACAGCTTATAATAATGCCATATCGGCGAAATGACAACTTTTCAAGAGAGTTTGTTATAATTAGTACAAAGATTGAACACTCAGAAAAAAATTCAAAACCTTGGATCCGGCTGGATTCAAATTAACGTCTTCCAGCAAACCGTCACAGACGCTATGCCAACTAAGCCACGGAACGAACTAGCGGACCTTACAATTTTTTCTGTGCTTGTTGTAGGACTTTGTTTTTGTTTTTTAACGACTTTTCGAAGGATTCCAAAGATTTTTTCTAAAATTTCGATCTTTGTATTAATAATTATAAAAAACTAGTGGAATAATATCACATAAACATAATGAATATCATGATGGTCAAACATCGCGGCATTTAATAAAAACTTAAAAATATTTTCAAGAGGATTAAAAGATTCTATTATACGAATGAAAATGGTCTATATTTTTTTATGCTTAAAATAGGAGATATAAAATTTGACATTACATAATTTGTTTGTTATTATTTATGTATTAATCACGTGTGGCTTACTACATCAAGGGAACGTAATAATTACGTGACAACACTAGATAGGTAAATAACATTTATTTGGGTCTACAGACACACACTTAAGAGAAAAATATGTAATATAATAAAAAGATGAAGAAAAACAGACGAGTCGCAGCACTGCCTGACACCCAGTTATGTGCGCCTGAAAAGTAATTTCTTTTGACTATTTCCAATTTAAATAGAATACTGGCCACTATTGCAACGCTGTTAGTTCTTTTTTCAAAATTAGCAACACTTGTATAATACGTCCGTTTTGCATAGACATGAGTAACTTTTTTTTAAACAGTCTAATGTCGCTTTCTAACGAAAACAATGAGTGTATTTCACTTACATGTATATTGAAGGAAAAAGCAGCTGTAGTTATCTTTTATTCATACTTAAGTAGATTACTTATAAGCCGCCCCTCGTATGCGGCCTTAGCTTAAACAGAAATAAACCGCTGATTTTCAGCTACAGTGAAAATAAAACTAAATCCATCCATCGATCCATCTTTTTATTAGTAGAGATTAAAAAAATACTTTTGAAGTAAGTTTACCTACACATTCTATGAAATCTACGCCGATTGTTGTACGACTTTGGAAGATTCTTGTCGTAGCTATTACTAGTGATGCAACGGTAGTACCATAACGGAAACAAACGTCAAAAGTAAAAGTAAGTAAAAAGACGAAACGAAAACGGAAACAGAAGCGGAAGCGGAAGTGTAAATACTATGAAGAACTCAATAAAAATAGATCCCAACAGGGCTTGTTTTTGGTTTCATAATTTAAATGCAATTATTACATTACACAAATCTACTAGAAAACGCGCACTCCACCGCGCACTAGCGCCTCTCTTCGCATCACGAACGTTGTAAACTTCCGATTAAAGTTCCGTTATAGAAGTAGCGTAAGTAGAAACGGAAAAATGTTAAAAAGCGTGCGGACCCTCCGCATTTTCGGAAGCAGAAGCAGATGTCTGTTGCATCACTACTAATTATACCCCTATGACTCAACAGACCTCACGAATTCCTCTACGAATTGGTTACAGACCTTTGTTTTTGATTTTTAACGGTTTTTTTAGCTGTAAAGCCATCACATTCGTTAGGTTTGTTGATTACAGTTCTGTCAAATTGAAAGAATGTTGTCTTTGTGTTCGTTCTTTTTATTAATAATTATAACAACCTATTAGTCTTTTGTATGTTGATGTGCATAAATAAGTACTTAAATTTTTGACGTCAACTTTACAGAGAAACTGTACCCATAAAAAAGTAATTTTTTTTAATATAACCTCAGTGACTACCACGATTCGTTGCCATCGCCGACATCGCGCCGAAGCCACCAAAACTACATACACTCCATCTTCGCCATACATAACCTCACCAGTCACATGATACCACGCTAATTACGATTACCGCAGTTCGTTCACGTTTGACGATGGAATAGAAATTAGATTCATTTGCATTTAAAGTAATTTTTGTAACATTTTGTCAGTTTGTAGTTCGTAAAAATTGTGCCAAATTATCATATTTTTTCATGCTCATAAATATTTTTAGTGGCCTTTACAAATTTCCTTCGTTAAACGCACGCGATTGTGTTATTTACATACAAACTTCAGATTTTAATTTTAGTTGATAATTTAGATCATTGCTGTTAAAGTATTGTTGGAATGTATAATCGAAAACAGGGTATTTACAACCTTAAATGTGTGTAGTTAAAGTAAGTAAAGTCCTAATTTTTTTTTTATCCGTCAATGACATGTTACATAAAATCTCTAGTGATGTATTTTTTAACATTATTTATTTAAAATATTTTCGAACAATTAGTTTCACGATCAATGTTATGTATTATCTTAATATTTTATGATTATGATAATTAAAGATATTTTTTTGAATAATTTTGTTTTTATTTTTAATTATTTTGAAGTTAGGTACTTATTAATTGAATTCGCGACTTTTTAAGTTTGTTTTTTTAAATAAACTAAATTTCGAAGATACCTTAGTATTATTTACTGTGGTTTTAAACCATTAGAGATGTTCCGTGTCGAAACGCGCTACCTATGGGTTGGTTTAGTGTTTTTTAATAAAGATAACTTTAATATTTAATAATATTTTTGGTGGACTTGGGAGAAATCAATTTCGTTAATAAATATTTCCGATTTCAGCGGGTACGACCTCCTCTACCCTTTAAGTGCCAAGGAAAGTCCATTTAAATCATTTACAGCGAGATCAACCGAAACCCACCACGTAATACGTATAATTACTAGCATATACCTTGTAATAAAATTATTGTAAAGTTCTTGGTATTTTTAATGTGACCAATTCGTATCAAATAGTGCTTGTCTTGTCAACGCGTCCCTTATTCGAAGGTATATACTATAATCGAGTAATTACAATTTTATTAGTCATCTAAAACGTCGTTAATTAGTCATGTTCATGTTAGTAAAAATGGAAGTTTTTTTTTATAACATCAAGTGAGGGGACGAACAAGTCGTGCGCCTGATGGTAAGCTATCCACAACAGTTTCAGTGCCACTCAGATAATTAAATTGCAAATCACCAGCACCCTTACTCTTCCAAACCGGAACGCAGTAATGCTCACATGCATGCTTGGCGACAGAAATAGGTAAGGTGGCAGTACTTCCCTGGATGAACTCTTTCACAAGGACTTCTAATGCTACTAAATTAAGTAAATTAAGTTGCTACTCCGCAAACACAGTGGAGGTTAAATCAAGCAATTGTGTTGAATTTTTTTTCGTACTTCAGGGGTTATTGATTGTTCGAATGTTCGACCCTTGGCCGAATAATGAGTTCGTTGAAAATTCGCGTCGAAAATCTGCATGAACAAAATGAAGTGACAGACATAACATTAATACGAGGAATAAAAATAAACTAGCTTTTCTTGATAGTCGTCTTTACAAAGTCAAAAAATCATTTAAGGGGCAATGTATACGCTTCTATAACAAGATTCCGGTTGATATACAAAATTTGCCTTTCACGAGGTTTAAAACTATAGTGAAACAAAAACTTTATACTAAAGGTTATTATACAACTTCTGCGTACTTGGATGACAAAAATCCGTGGTAGTACCCGTTTAGCTCATGGAGGTAGTCTCGATCTCTGGTGTTTCAAATATAAAAAAATATATATTGTAAATGTTGAATGTTTACAAAGAGATTTAAATATCTCATTCTTCTCAGGGGAATCTGCCTTACGAATGAGCGGTAGAGTTTAACCATTGTGACGATTTCAAGTGTAATAATGCTTACGTATGAAATAATGATTATTTTGAATTTGAATTTTGAGTTTGAATTTTGAATTTATGAATAATACACAACTTCTAAGAACAATTTTGATTCACTTTGACATTTGTGCAACAATGTGTACTAAACTTAAGCAGTCAAATGTACTAACAATGGTCGCAAAAACAATGGAATATAATGAAAACATTTAAAATTCTGTGACTACTTTCATAAAAACTTTTATAAATAAAACACCGATATAAAATTCATATCATTAAGGTAATTAGATAGTATTGTCTTCAATTCTATAATATTATTGCAATACATAACTTGCAACGTGTCGCGACATCTTGGCGTGCATACTTCTATGCACTTCGATGGTTGAGTGTTGAATAAAACAAGATTAAATTCAATAATACATAATTTATTTGAAATTAAAATAATAATTAATAATACTTTACAGAGAACTTCTTCGTCGAATATTCAATGGCACCAAATGGTAACTTAAAACGTCAATTGCGGTTATGATTACAATTCGAAAGGTTTGTTTTGTACTCACTGTGGGAAGGGTGGTAGGGTTAAATCATAAAAGAAGCAAGTGCTCGTACTACATTCATTATGAAAACCTAAAGTGGGATAAATACGAATTGCAAGTAATACACATGATACACCTCTTTGAAATCCCGAAATTATTGCATTGTATTTAAAAGTTTGGAAATCGTATGTAAAAACATAACTTGTGTTTAGATTTTTGCCTTTTTCATGAATTTTAATCACTTATTTCAATAGGACGTTTGCGTTAATATTAGGTAAGTATACGCAGACTATTGCTAGTTCTGCTTATAAGTCACTTTTAGATAAAGCATTGGTGGTTCTAATGTTGACTTTAATGTTCCAAAAATTAACAACAAAATAGCGAAATATTACTTGTTGTCGTCGTAATGGCATGATTTTTATAATACATTAAAACTATAATACACTTCCGGACATATAATTCGAGCCACCACGCATTTTCAGTATTAATAAGCGCCCTAACATAAACAATGTTTGATTGTAGGTAATGAACCTATTTTTCCGGATTTAAATCGCGTATATTTGAAAAACAAATATACGAAATAAAAAAAAATGTAATGAAAATATACTCCAAATGTTTGATTGATTTTGCTTGCCCATTACGACCACAATGCGAGGTGGCTCGAATTATGTGTCCGGGTGTATAAAATGGTGCAGAGATTCTAGTATTTATTCTTCATATAAACTGTATATTCGTAACAAAAAAAGTCTAATTAGAGTATTGGAATCTTATCACATCTTAAATATAAAATTAAATTAAATTAAATTATTGTCACATAACATTAAATATATGTCAAGTAATTGTGACTTCAACATACTATGTACTTACAATATATATTGGCAGCATTGTTTGTCTGTTCTGAACTTGGCCCATGCGATAACCAGCGCTGACTTGCAGTTTAAGCAAGCATATTTAGGTCAGAATACCTTACTAACAAAAAAATATGAACGCAAGTGCGCATTTGTACAAAAACGTAAGAATAACATTCGTTTAAACATGCAATTTTAATATTAATTGCTGATATGTTATGATATAAAGTTTTTTTAAATTGGTCCATATGCAACGTATAAAATTTTATATAAATTGTGTACTATTCGTAATTGACAGTGTTCAGTCCGGTGCGTTAAAGTTCTCGCTCACCAGTTTGCAATGCTCAATCGAGATCTTATAGGAAGACTATGACTTACAGCTAAAATGCCTCTTTTGAAGTTGTCGGAACCTGCGGAACAGAAAAATAAAATCAATAAGAAATAATAGAAATAAATAACTGCCTCCATGGGTTCCTCCTGCCTCGAACGGTTACCATGCCAGAGTGCCACGCAGAGGTCCCAGGTTCGATTCCCAGGCATAGAGAAATATTTGTATGGCCTACATTTATTTTTCTCGTGAGTTTGGGTGTAATTTATGGTTGTCTATGTGTGTGTTCACGGCACACGTGACACAGGGTTTCCCTAGTGCCTAGGGCTATGTTGAGTATTTCCCTTTCACGAGTTTGAAGGAAGTTTTGAGAAAACCGTTACGGTGGTACTATTTGCTCAGCTTGGACAAGCATTACTTTGCCCCTGAATATGTCAATACTAAAACAACGTGGTAGCCTAACGGTTTGACCTACCGCCTCTTAAGCAGAAGTCGTGGGTTCGAATCAGGGCTCGCATCTCTGAGTTTCTCCCCAACCCGCATTGGGCCAGCGTGGCGGACTATGGCCTAACCCTGTATATATGGTATATATGGGTTGGTGATGATGATGTGCCAATACTAAGACCAAGAATATAGTTTTTTGGAGTTTTTGAGGCTAAGGGTGGTTTTCCACCGGCGAGGCAAGACGAGATGAGGAGAGACAAGAATCGAAATCTCGCCGGCCTATTCCCACCAAAAATTGCCATTGATAGCTCGCGCTGTGACTGTGGGTAGTGAAGTTTCAGCGCTGTTCAATTAATCTAGCGATAAATACGCGGATGAAGTAACATGTTCCGTAAATTATTATTATTAAATATGTTAACGGAAGAAAAATCAGATTACACCATATTTTTTAAAATCTTAAATCGCACGTAATTCAATCTCGCGAATGATATTAAAAGCCATCGCGAGCTCGGGCTAGCGCGAGCCTCTATGCAGGCAGCAATACGGTTGAATATTACATAAATAAATATTTCAGTTCTCGCCTCGCCTATCCTCCTCAATGCAGACCATTTCCATTGAAGATGGGCTAGGAGAGAATTGAGATTTTGTCATACAAATTTCAATCCTCGTCTCGTCTTGCCAGTGGTAAACCACCTTAAGGGACTTTTTCTACCTCCTAGTACTGACTATCTTACTCGTACTACCGCATACAAATTTTCCAAACTTAAGTAGCTCACCGTCAAGCTTCTCCCTGCGCGACGAACCCTGGTCGGTTGACGCTGCGTCGTTTTCTCAACGTTCCCAAGATCGTGAGCATTTCTTTAACGGCTTCAGGTTGTTCCTCTTTAGGTTTCCGTTCGAGAAAGTTCTGTTCGCGAGACTTGAGCTGGAACTTGCCGCCTTTTATTTGGTCCACTATTGCATCTATCGCTCCACCTGAGACCACGTACAGAATTATTAAATAAAAAAAATAATATCCCTTTTTTAACCAACTTGAAAAATAAGGAAGTTCTCAATTCATCAGTTTTTTTTATTTTTGTTACGCGATAACTTTTTACTTTGTGCTTTTGATGATTCTTTTGTTTTGTTAGAAAGAGGGTCCCTTAGTGGTCCCATTTAAATTTGAAGAAAATATTCCACCTCTAAGGGTGGCAAACTAGGGGTTGAATCCGGTTTCGCGCACTTTCCGGTAACCGATGTCAATAAAACTTAGCAAATAGATGTAATTCCACGAATTTTTGAGGTCAGTTTTTTTAGTGCTCTGCAGGTACTGAGATTAGGAACACAGCACAGAACACAGACATTAGGAACTTGGCGGGGGCACTATCGTGTCCCCATATGCTGTTGTACCTAACTGAATATCGTATATTTACCTCCGTTCTGTTTATTGGCTTTCTTCAAAGTCCCCTGTTTGTTGGCCAACATCTGCGCCATGTCCTCGACGGTGGACGCCGCAGAGAATACCGCGGGCGCGGGAGGGGGCGGCGGGGGCGGGGGCGGGAGGTTCATGGGGGGAGGCGGCGGGGGCGGAGGAGGCAGAGGGGCGGCGGGAGGGGGTGGAGGAGACGCCGATTCTGTACTGACGGTTGGCGGAGGTGAGGGAGGTGGAAGGGGTAATTGTGCTGGCTCTGATGGTGGCGCTGCAAAAAGAGTAAGTATAAAACATTACTTATTGACATACGGGATATAGTATGGGAAAATCCGAAACCATGGGAGATTCAGGGAAATGAACAACACATTTCGACAGTCAAGCGTGAGTTGTTCTTCAGAATGAATGTCATTCATATTGACAAAATTTTATTTTAATGCTGATCGACTCAGTTTCTTGTAGGGATTATTTCATTGCATCGGAAGAAAAAATCGAGACAGCAGAAGTTGGTCAAATTTAATTGAATTTATTTTTTTACATAATCTATGCCTTCCTGATTTACAACGTTATCGATTTTAAGTATGCTTTGTAAACATCAAAAATACAAACCCAGAATTTCTACTTTTTCTTCGACGTCCTTCTTCTCCCCTCCACTCTCAAAGTAACTTATCCTGGACATAAGACTAGTCTTTTTCTGCGGTTTTCTTTCAAACTCTGCTAACCGCTTCTCAGCCTCAGCGACCTTTTTTTCGGCCTTTTCGGCGCGTTCCAGAGCCTTCTGTGCATCTTCCTCTGCCAATTTGATTTTCTCTTCCCAAAGAAGTATGTCTGTGTCTTCATGTTTTTCTGCTAGTTTCAACTATGAACAAAATTGTAATTAATAAATATAATCATTCTGATGTAACAAAAACGCAAGCACAATTTTCATAACGTTTTGATGGACGGTACTAAGATATAAGATAAGAGATCACGTAAAAAAAGTGCCTTAAACCTCGATTGGTACCAGAACAGCTGTCGCGAAAACCCACGCATATATAATTTCAAACACTAAATCTTGATAATGATTTCTTGTAGCTTCTAATTTAAAAAGAAGCAACAAATTCTGGACTGTTAATATATTTAAACTTTACGCTATTGCAAGTTTTGATATTTATTTTGAAATTTTAATCAAAGTGCTGCCATCTAGCGATCGTAGCTGCACGACGACGACCAATTATCGACTGCGAGCGTAGAAAATTCAAGGTATTTACTTAGTTCTCCAAAAAATAAGGGACCATACGGCAGGAGTATAAGGGTTAGTTTTGTTTCTTGTAACAAAAAAATATTACGATAAACAGAAAGTTGAAAATTAATTAAAACTTAACGTTGATACGAGACACTACCACAGATAATAATATTACAGGTGCTACGATCATTTTTGCACTCCAAAGTAGCGAAATAAGGCATTTTTCTATTTTATAGATTTTCAAGGTTTTTTACAAAAAGAAAATGGAGCAATGAGCTCAAGTACACGGAACTTCGCATACTGTTGGCACACGTGCCACGCCCACTAAGCACTACAGTATTTGTTGTCCTGTGAAAGGGATCCGGGTAGCTGCCGACCTGCAAGTCCTCGAGCTGGTCCTGGTGGCGCTGCGCCTGGCTGTCCAGCGCCTGCTTGAGGCTGTCCACTTCGGCCAGCACCAGCAGCAGGCGCTCGTCCAGCTCCAGCTCGCCCATCAGCAGCGCCGACTGGTGCGTCAGCTGGCGCACGCGCTTCTTGGCCGACAGCGCCTCGGACTTGTAGCTGCAAGGTTGCCAGTGAGTCGAAGGCCAACACTTCCTACTGCGACGGATCGTCTCGCACTTACGTCTCGGCCATCTGCCTGTCCTTGTCGGCGTTGTTCTTCAGCGCGGACACCTCGTCCATGAGCAGCTTCGACACGCGGTTGTGGCGCTCGATTTGTCTTCTCAGTTCCTCCAATTCCTTCTCTTGCGCTTGGCATTTCTCTCGCTCGGATTCTAGCTCCTGGAAAGGGATTGGAGATACTTTTATTTGGGAATGTGCCAGACATCGACGTCTGTTACTTGAAAAAGGCAATTTTCTGTTCTACGAATACCAGAGCAACGAACCAGACCAGAACCAATTTAGCAAAATCGTTTTGCCAAACTGGTTGAGCCTGAGACCTCATCTAACGCCCACAGTGCTATACGAGCCATCGAGGTCGTCAATGTACAGACCATCGCGCCCGTTACCCACTGGGGTAGGCAGAGACCTCGAACCTCCATTCGTTACGCTCTTGACAAACTCCTTTCGCTTCCTCCACTCGCACCAGTCTCTTCAATGATGCTCGTTTATTCTTAGACTTTTAACCTGGTCTTTTTCAGGACATCCCGTCCTCAAAGTATCACACAAATATCATAAAACTGCGACTGGTATACCAGAGTCACTATTGAGTATCTCTTTTTGAAGGATGCAAATCTCCGGTATTACGGAAATACAAGGTAGGTTGAAACTTTGCCCGGAAAATCAAAATGCGAGTTCAAAGAGCGAAACAAGCAAGTTAGCTTTCTCCTAGCCGGTGTTAACAAGATCGGCAATAATTGTCGACCGAATTAAGACGACAGCAGAAGACTTTACTTCCAGAGAGATTCCCACCCAGTCTGACTGCAATACGGTCAGAAGGAACCTTAAACAGCCTTCAATCAGACCTTAGTGACTTGACCACCTACTGCGTCAACACAATCCGATATCAATGACATTACCTGTGTAGTGGTCACATTGATCTCGTGGGCCTCGAACTCATGCAACTTGGCCGCGTTGGCCTCCGTCTGCAAAGAGGCCACTTGTTGTGTCAGCTCTGCTATTTGCTGTTTCAGGAATTCCACCTCTTCGTTGCTACTGGTGTCTGATGCTGGAATTTGAAAATTTTCAGTTGAATTTTAATTTTTTTTAAGCAATCCCTGGTTTGCAGGTTTCTTATGATTTGTGCTTAAGTGTTGTATTGTTCTTGAATATTTTGGATTTTAATTGTTAACGTTTTTACCAAATGCGGCGTTTTTCTTTAACCTATCTGGTTTTTTTTATAATACCAAGTGACGGGACAAACTAGTCGTAGGCCTGGTTGTAAGCGACACGCCTGTTCATAACAGTTGCAGTGCCACTCAGAGCATTAAATCGCAAAGATCGGAGAGGCACTGCCACTGCCCTCGTCACCCTGGGACAAGCTGAGAAGTCCCATGTGCCTGTAATTTCACCACTTACTTACCCTTCAAAACCGGAACACCGGTGTGCAAGTCACTCTACCAATGAGACCATCAAAACGACTTACCTTCGGATAACCTATATTATAACTTGATTTATGAACTTTTACTCGACAAGAGGCTTTTCATGAATTTTAAAATTGATTTATTAATGACTGTCTCCGTGGCCGAATAGTCACCATGTTGGTCTACCACGCCGAGACGTCCCGGGTTCGATTACCGGGCCGGGAAAAATGTTTGTATGGCCTGCATTTATTTCTCTCGTGAGTTTGGGTGTAATTTTTGTCTATGTTTCCCTAATGATTATGAGATGGTTATGAGAAAAAAAACTAGATATGACGATACCACGAAAACCGATATGCAAGCCACTTAACCACGGCCACGACCATTAAATCTTTTTATTTTTATATGAAACTAAAATTAAATTAATTATTGAAAGCGTGGAACAAAAGTTGTGGTTTATGATGTTAGTACGAGTAATATCAAATAACCTCAATTTGTATTTTATGAGGAAAGAAGATATTTTTCTGGAAATTTAAAATTATTTCTTTCCTTAAGTTGTTTTGTCACGTACATTCAAGAGCACATGAGTAGACTGTTCTTATTGTAAACGGCATAGAGTTTCATTTAAATCTCAATAAGTGTCAAGCTTGCCTCGCGCTTGACTCAAGTTTGACCTTGAAGTTTTTTTTTATATAATCAAGTGACGGGACGAACAAATCGTGCGCCTGATGTTAAGCTATACGCCTGTCCATAACAGTTGCCACTCAGCTCTTTACATCGCTAAGATCTGAGGCGCACTGCCACTGCGCCTGTCACCCTGAGAGATAAGTTGACCCATGTGCCTGTAATTTCACCGCTACCCTTCAAAACGGTAACATTACTGCTTGGCGGCAAAAATAGATTAGGTTGAAATATGGTACCATTATTTTTATTCCACTATGTGTATTAGAGAAGAATTATATTCAGCCAGCGCTTCTCCCGTATTTTTAACCGACTTCAAAAAAGGAGGAGGTTCTCAATTCGACTGTATGTTCTTTTTTTTGTATGTATGTTACGCGATAACTCCGGTATTTGTGAACCGATTTTCATGATTCTTTTTTTGTTGGAAAGGGGGTAATTCCATAGTGGTCCCATTTTATTTTGAAGAAAATCAACCACCTCAAAGGGTGGCTGTTCACGCATGAAGTTTCATTTTTATAAATAGCGCCTGACTTTAATTTAGGAGCAATTACTTTTAGCAACTATTTAGTTGATTTTGCTATTTCTCCAATTCAAGGCGTTTTTCTCTCGATATAATAGGGGTTAAAGTATGAAATTGCCGATTTGTACTGAAAATCTAAATTGTTTATTTTTAAATTTTTAACAAATATTTAATCAAAATAGTTGCCATTATTATGTATACATTGCTGCCATCTAATGGGAAGGTTATTAATGCCTTTGCGATAGAACTCCGACGATCTAGACTGCACAAACTGTGTGAAAGCATTTTGTACTGCCTCCTGGGAAGAAAACTTCTTGTCACGTAGATAATTGTCCAAATCACGAAAAAAATGGTAGTCCGTTGGAGCAAGGTCTGGTGAATACGGAGGATGACGAATGGTTTCTAACTGCAGTTCCTGAAGGGTCAAAATGGTTTCTCGTGCTGTGTGAGGTCTCGCGTTGTCGTGGAGCAATAATGGTGAAGATCGATTCATGAGTCGGGGCTGTTTTACTGCTAGTTTTGTCAACATGGTTCGGAGTTCGGCACAATAGACATCTGCCGTTATTGCTTGACCAGATCGGAGAAAACTATAGTGAATAACACCATGCTGAGACCACCAAACAGTTACCATTACCTTTTTATTGGTAAGTTTTGCTTTAGGACACTGTTGTGGCATTTGACCTGGGGTCAGCCATTGCATTTTTCTTTTCCGGTTATCATAAAGAATCCACTTTTCATCACATGTTACAATTCGATCCAATATTCCTTCATTTCTGTACCGGTTCAACAAGGCAACACAAGTTTCAACACGCGTTTCTTTCTGCAGATCAGTCAAATCATGAGGCACCCATTTTTCGTATTTTTTTATTTTATTGATTTGACGCAAGTGAGTCAATATTGTGGGTAAGGTAACGTTAAACCATGCCGCTAATTCCTGGGTAGTTTGACTAGGATCGGCTTCCACTATCTCTCTTAATTCATCGTTATTCACCTGTGTGGGCGGTCTTCCTCGTGCCTCGTTCTTTAAGTCGAAATTTCCATCACGAAAGCGTTTAAACCAAAATCGCACGGTGCGTTCATTAGTAGACCCCTCTCCAAACGCAGCATTGATATTGCGGGCTGTTTCTGCCGCGTTAGTTCCGCGTCGGAACTCGTATTCAAAAATCACTCGAATTTTCGCAGTATCCATCTTTCTTGTCTAAATTGAATAACAAAAACAATTGAAAGTCGATATTCAAATGTTTCAAATTCAAAAAAAAAAAAATCACAGAAACCATTTGAAAAAGTTTCATTCGAAAACCTCAAACCATGAAGATTCTATGAAAATTCAAAGAACCTATTGCAATAAAACGGCAATTTCATACTTTAACCCCTAATACTTTGAGTAGTGTCGTAGTGAGAACCTATTTTTATTATCTCCAGGGTCAAGTCCTGTATAGTGGCGAACTAGGGGATATTTCAATAAAACTTAGCAAACAAACGTAATTCCACGTACTTTTGAGGTCGGTTTTTTTAGTACTCTGTACTGGAGATTATATCCATTTGCCAAGTTTTATTGAAATCGGTTAATACAAATTGTTCAAACCGACTTTATTTTCCAATTTGCCACCCTTAGAGGTGGAATATTTTCTTCAAATTGAATAGGAACATTACTGAGGTACCCCCTGTCCAACACAAATAAATCACCGATTTTTTTTCTATTTATTTTGTATCCATCTGCGATCATTCCTTGAACCGTAAACAAATCTGTCCTATAGTTTTATGTCGTTTGGAATAAAGAGGCATGTGACTCTTTTCTCCCTTGTCCATTAAATGGCTGATTGTATTCTACTGATTCAACTTTCCAATATTGTTTACTTTTTCAAACGACTCAAGCCACCTAGATGCTTTTCGTCATCCAGAGATCTTGCCAATACATTTGTATGTAGTGATAATCAAGACTTATGCTTTTCTTTACGTGGCAGTATCTCCGGTTTGATAGTTGGCATTTCAAGATAGTCATGTATTTCCTGGGCTCTTACGAACCAAGGTGATTGGACTATAGTCTTTAGTACACCGAAATAAAAAACAAAAAAATACGGTCGAATTTGAGAATCTTCTTTTCTTAACCGATTATGAAAAAGGAAGAGATTCTCAATCCGTCTCTATTTTTTTGTATGTATGTTACTCGATTTACTTACTTACGCATTTGTGACTCGATTTTGATGATTATTTTTTTGTTAGAAAGAGGGTATATATATATATATATATATATATACTCGTATTGGTCCCATTTCAATTCAAATTGTTGAGGAAGAACTTTTGAGATTGGTTTTTTTAGTACTCTATACTGAAGGTTATTTTAAAGTCGGTTACAAATACAATGCATGAAGCCATAATCGTTCTCACCTGTGTCCGTGCAGTCGAGTTCGATATCTGCCCGAGCAGGCAGCTGGCTCAGCAGTACCGTGCTACGTCTCTTTAGTTGCTTGTTCTGTTTGTACCATTCTCCAGCCTGTTGCATTACCCTAAAATTATAACACAAGATCCGTTACCATCAATCCAATGTCAACATCATACTTTCCACATGTCGATTCGATTTTATGAAGATCGACTGACCTGTATATTTTGTAAAAATTCATTTCTATGCGATTTTTAAGTAAATAGATTCAGCATTAAAGCGAATCGTTTAGGTCGTATTCATAATTGAAACAAAACAGTGCCTTTCTGAAGCCGTATTTCATATTGGCCTGCAAGAAAAGCAGTTTGACGACTTCTAAGTACAATAAGTCCACAATATTTGGCGATTGTCGCTACTTTTGTGCCGTTTGAACATCTTTTCCCCGTCTAATATCACTCTAAGTGAAAGTCGTAACCGACCGAAGCCAAAAAGGCTGTCAAAATGATTTTTTTATCGAAATTCATTTTGAAACGATTTTTATGAGGTCGATTCAAGAGCATACGATCCGATCCGTGGATCAATTCAAAGGCAAATGATCCATTACGATCCAAAAAATCGATTCAAAGCAAAAAATCGTGCATCCCTATTCACGATGACAAGTTTGTGAACTCTCTTACGTTATAAATATTTCATTACGATGTTTTCCTTCGCCGCTTAAGCTAAGGTCTACCCCAATGGGAAAATGGCGCGAAGTTTATGTAGATATGCTTATGTAAGTGTCTATCACCAAAAACTCTACATGACCCGAAATGCCTCCATGGTAAGACATTTTTCTGTATTTTGTGATATAGTTTTAATCGTCGATCTTAAATCACAGATGTAGACTCTATTTAGGGTGGGTTTCGTGCGTAGCAGTGGAGCGTTTTCTATAATTCATAGTTCCTCAAAACGCGGAGACTGCAATATAATATAATAGCTAGTATAGGTGGATTATTACTGGTTTGCAGTAGTTTATGCATGTCAGGGACATACCTACTACCTAAGATCTATACATTCAATGAAGTTTGACAAACCCCAGGTCCTTGCAAAAGATGTTCGTTATCTACCCAGGATGCTGCGAGAGGCCATTGAAATAAAAAAAAACATTCTAATTTCAATTGGGAAGACGGTTTCTCCGTACCACCAGTTTGGGATCCAGTATTTCCTCTGATGAAAAATCCCAAACAAACATAAGACTGCAGGACTAATTAATATGCTTTAATTTATTCTAATTGCCATTATTAATTAATAATAAATTTAACTTAATAAAAATTACTATTGTTAAAATAAAATAATTTGTATAACATAATGTAGCGTACATTGGAATGTTTCTTAGTAAATTAAAAATTATGTATATTTAATTAATAACTTTTGTAACTATAGTGAAAAAATTGGGTGGTTTGTATTAATATTAGACGTAACTGGTTGAATACTGTACCACCTCAGTCAACCGTGACCATGGGACCTGTAAAGGGCCCGAAACGTTGGTTTGTTTGAAAAAACAAATGTATGCGATTTAAATCCGGAAAAATAGTTTCATTTCCTACACTTACATAACATTTTCATAAATGTACTGTGAGGTTAGTGTAAGAATTTTAATGTCTTTAAACTTATCTCTCAAAGACACTCTGGGGTCCAGTTTGTAAAAGATCAATATATACGAATTCTAGTTTATTATACAATGGAATACATAGACTTAAATGAATTTGTGACCAGCATAATGACCCTTTAATAGGTCATGTTACTGCCACGCAAAAGAGCAAACCGATTTCGGTAATTGCAGTTTAACACGTTTCTCGTTTACTACCGGTTACTGCCTGGCGTTCAAGGTGAAATTTAAATGCCTACCAATCAAATTTAGTTAAGCACGTTCAGCTTTTGACTCTGGAGTTTGGAACGTTGACTTTTGAAAGCTTAAAATATTAAGATAGAACAAACTAAAAGAAAAATTCCTTAGTCACGGTGAGACAACAGACCCTGGTTCGTGTCCAATTGGATTGAAGGAATGTTTTCAAAGTGTTCGACCTTTGTTCAATCTCAGCTAGTGGAGGCTGAGTGAAGAAATGGATTTTTCACAGATGGCGCTACGTCAAAAAAGTTGTTTAAAAAAAACAAAGATCCGCAACAAGCGCATAGAAAAATTCATTAGGTCCACTAGAAAAATTCCTTCGGTCCGGCTGGAATCGAACCAACGTCTTCCAGCAAACCGTGACAGACGCTACGCCAATTAAGCCATGGCTTAGCGGATCGAAGGAATTTTTTGTAAGTGTTCGATCTTTGTATTAATAATTATGAAATAATTTCACAAAAATGATTGAATATCAAACATCATGATATTCAATAAAATAAGTGTTGCAGCTTATCACTATTTCAACATAGCCATTTTGTCGAAGATAGTTATCGATTTGAATCGAGAACGATCGATCATAAAAATAAACATGGCGACTGCCAGCGGCGGTGTGAAAGGGGCACTCGGGTGTTGGCATAGACAAGTAGTAGGAGCGGGCACAAGGGTGATTTTAATTATGAAAAGTTCTCTTCCAGCCAAATATTAATTTTTAATTTGAATCATAACTACTGGACAAAAAGTGTGTCATGCTATCAATAATAATTTTGTACGTAATAATTATGCGTAAAAATTCTGAGTTTTAAAACAATAACAAGTTCCACAAGAGATCAACGCTCTGTAAAGAACATGTGGTATTTATTTAATTAATTGCAACATAGTTATTGTTAGTAAATAGTGTAAAGTAATTGCAACACAGTTATTTCCTGTAAATTTTCCTGTAGGGTTCATTATTTATATTGAACTTAGTATTTGTTTGTTAAACGACGCACATAAGGCACGGTCAAAACGAAAACCTTTTTTTATTATATCAAATGACGGGATGAACAAGTCGTACGCCTGGTGGTAAGCGACACGCCTGTCCCGGCGGTGACATTAGCTGAGTGGATCCTATTACATACGCAACAGCCGCACACATGACATCTACTTAGTACAACAATAATGTTGACCAGCTTTGTGGTCGCATAATTATTTATTGCTAAGATTTTATTTTTAATTAATTTTATTTAGTTTTCTTTTTTGTTATTCATTTTCTGTTTGTTTTAATTTAGTTTGTTTTAGTTTTAATTTAGTTCTGTTTTATTTTTATTTTTTTACTTTTTATTTTTTACTGTTTATTATTGTGTTGTGGTGTTATATAATAAATGTATCATTTATTATACCTATACAAGCGATTTTAATTTTTATATTTATGCAATGTATGTATTTGTGATCTTTATTACACATATCACACATATTTGTAGTTTTTGTATCTCAAAAGAATAATAAGTTAACGGATCGAACTAAGAAATCGAACAAGTGAGAACAAATACTCTCACTAGTTCGACGGTCGAACTAGTGAGAATAAATTTAATGTTCTATTCATTCTATTCTATTCTAATTGTTGCAGTGCCACTCAGAGTTTTAAATCTCAAAGATCTGAGAGACACTGCCCCTGCGACACAAGTTCTATGTACCTGTGATTTCACCAGCACCCTGACCCTTCAAAACCGAAACACAGTAATCTTACATTACTGCTTTGCGGCAGAAATAGGCAACGTGGACGTACGTAAATATACGGTTTGGTGGTACCTACATTAGTATCAATTTATGGTGTCGACTAATTTGCCCTAAACTTGAACGACATTATCTATCCTCGTATTACAGGTTAAATTCTACAAACGCGCATTTGACTAACGCGAGTTTTTTTTTTTCAGTGTAACTGAGTCATGTAAACAGGCCTTAGAAATCGCGATTTACGTACTTTTGCATAAGTTCTGCATCGATCTCGCTCTGGTGCTTGAGCTGCTGGTACTCATGAAACAGCTTCTCCGAGACATGTCTGAGCTTGTTCAGCTCCCGTTCGCGGTCGGCGAGCTCACTCTCCACGTGTTTGTGTTCCTCGACGAGGATGTTGTAGCGGCGCAGGAGATCATCGTGCTCGCGCTTCGCTGGAATGAAGATAAATCATCTGTACTATCTTTTTACGTAAAAGCAGCAGTACTAACATAGTTATTGAAATCTTTGCTTATGTCAGAGGTCCTAGAGCAGTTGGGTTGGGTTCATTATCAGTAGCTTTAAGAGTCGAATACTATCTTAGCTCGATTTAAAATTTCCCACTTCTTGCCCGTGGAACACCTGTCTGGTTCACCTGTGTGGACCACGGGTAATTATTTCTTACCGTGGCTCACCCATGTTCACCTGGATGGACCGTGGGCAATTATTTCTTCCCGTGATTCTCCTAGGGATTTTTCTTTTCTCGTGAATGACCTTACTATTAAAATCCATTTAACGTTCCAATTGCAAATTATTGTCTATTAATCATTGACTTACAAATTAATGGACGACGGGTCTAATACAAAAACCACGAAAAAAATGTCCCAAGTCAACCTATTTAAACGTAGTGACATGTAAAGGAAAAGAGAAAAAGCTAAAACGTGGAATTTAAATTGTAATGTCATCGCAGTACTGTCTAATTTTGCTTGCTTCGCTGTCAGTCGAACAAACGAAGACTAGAGCGTGAATGACGCTCTGTATACGATTTTAACGCCCTATAAGTTCGGACACTTTTGAGCGCGGACCCGACGTCCATATAATTGTAAGTCAATGCTATTAATTGAAAATTTTAATGAATTGAATTTGTTGGCAGTAGTTGGCCGAAGGACTAAAATACGAATAAATTAAATTTTAAAAGTGTAAAATGAGTAGTGAAGAACTTAATTTCACACTTTAGAATAGGTGGCAATAATATTTAAGTACAAGTTTAGAAAAGATTAATATTGATGTCTTAGGGTCGTATTCTAGAACTCTACTCAATGCTCAAGTCAGGATTTGAGCAGACTTGAGTATGATTTCAAGCACTGGAAATACGCTAAATACGCTCCTAATGGCAAGGACTTGAGTATGATTTTCAGTGCTCACTGCAATACTCAAGTCTTGACTTGATTATTGAGTAGAGTTCTGGAATACGATCCTAAGACTCGATACAACCTCAAATGCTTTTGCTTGCTTGGTTTCACGTAACGGTGAAAGTGTTGAACCAATCATTTTGGAAAAAATATACACAAACTTACCTCCAAAGACAAGAAAACCTCTGTATTCAATAAGTGCTTTACAATATACTAATGTTCTTTTTTTTAGTTATCGCGTAACATACATACAAAAAAAAGAAAAAAGAACATACAGTCGAATTGGGAACCTCCTCCTTTTTTAAAGTCGGTTAAAAACTACATGAAATTAGATACTTTTCTTCTTCGCCCTCTGTATGAATACAAAACAAACATCATTAGTTGAAACAACCTGCAAGAGCTAAACGCGTCTCTACCACAGATTTTTGTCATCGAAGTACGTAGAAGAAATACACTTTTAAACCTTGGAATCTTATTATAGAAGTAGAAGCGTATAGTTTGCCGCTTAAGGTACCCAAGATGCTGGCAGCGTTCCCCCTATGTATGGCCACAGTGTAAAGAACATACAGCGGGATATCGCCTTTGAAATGTCGCGAAATGCCACTTTCGTCTATACATATATTACGTAATACCGCAGGGTTGTCACCATGTGTTTTTCTTAGTTTTATCTGTTGGGGTGGGTAAATGAATTTGTGATTTTGTATTAGGACTCCCGGTTTATTTTGTATTTTTTAAAGACTGTTGAATTAGGGAATCGCCACATTAACGCCGAATGGGCTCGAGACGGTAAAAAAAACTTTATGTCCATGCCATAAGAGCGAAAAAGACAATGCGCGTGTCACTTCCGTTCGAAGCGTCGCGCCACACGAAACGTGCTACCTCTTTTTCGCTTTTATATATATATGAATGTAAAACTTCCGTGTCGACGAATTAACATAGACACTTTTCTTTACATTTGCAATGAAACTTTCTTTACAGTTGTGTAAAGGAAAATGAAAATGATATCACAATGACTTTATAAGAAAACGTAACGTATTTCGTTTCTCCGCTTACCGTACAAGGGACAAGAGCATCATTTAAAAACAAACTGCCATCAAGTACGAATAAGTTTTGTATAACTAAAGACCGTAACTATTACGCACACACACACACGCACACACTCACGCACACACTCAACATAGCCCCGCACTAGGGAAACCCTGTGTCGCGGGTGCCATGGACACACACATAGACAACCACAAATTACACCCAAACTCACAAGAGAAATAATTGTAGGACATACAACTATTTCTCTCGGCCCGGGAATCGAACCTGGGATCTCTGCGTGGCAGTCCGGCATGGTAACCGTTCGGCCACGGAGGCAGTTGATGAACTATTAGAAGCCCGATGTCGAAGGCTGAGGCCTTTTGGAGTCGATGTTCGTAATTCCCATACCGCCCGTGTAACACAACGTTTTTCATTACACTTGCACATAAATAGTATGGTTGCATGCAGGCTAACTTGACGATAATACCCCAAATAAAACCCTCGGGCGCTTTTTTGTTCTCATTACGGCCGTAGTCATGTGAAAAGAAAAAATCACTGGTCATAGGACCATGCAATCACACTTGCACGGCGCAGCACGGGAATTACGAATCTCGACTTCGAAAACCCTCAGTTTTCGACATCTCGTTCGTAATTCCTTATTTACAGCCTTTAATACACAATGTACTATTACGGCATGGTATGATCTTAATCGAAAAACTAGGATTTGTTTAAAATTATAGTTTATTCATTTATTCTTTTTAGCAAAATAAACAGTTTTGTCATTCGTAAATTAAGATAAAAAGCTCTTATCTGCTTATCATGGCAATATTGCATAAGTCTCCGTCACGAATAGAATTTCTGGGGCAATGGATAATGACATTCGTTCACGGGAATCTCGCAAACTATATCAACGGTTGAAAGGTAAAACCGGCTAAACTAGATTGAAAATATGTTATACCTAGGTAGTAAAGTTTGTGTATAATATTGAAGTCACAAGTGACATTTTTGGAAAAGTTAAACAGGATATAGATCTACTGGTAATAGGACCAATTGATGGACCCTTTTAACTCTGTTCACAGTCAGTCGGCGGTAATGGCTGAATATTTTTGTTAATTTGCTTGGTAAGTACAAAATAGTTTTAAAGTTCAAAACAACAATAAAGTACCTACTTAGTTCTGAACTCAAAATATAATATGTAGATGATAAGATAAATGTAATAATTACTAGACATAGATATTAGTATCCGGGAGCATTAGGAAATCCAAAGATCGTCTACAGATTATGCTGTACATATAGCACCCACAATAATAAAGTAAGGCCGGCCATATACGGGCGAAGCTGCGATCACATAGCAAACTACAGTCTTCTACGTACACACATACACCAAACCGCTTGAGCAGTTGCGACTGCTTCGGGCGGATTGCAGCGCGGTGAAATTTCATCGTGCAGTCGCCAGGCTTACACTGACTGCTCGAGCTGTCGACTGCTCTCGCGCAGTTACCTCCGCCGCCGTCGTCGTCTGAGCAAAAGTATCAGTGTAGTGCTTCTTACTCAAAATCCATGTTGCTACTGATTTGAATGAAATTGAAATTGTGACTTGTTGAGCAGTTATCAATAACAGCCTCAAGCTGTTGACTATGACTGCAAGAGCGATCCGTGTATGTTGATCATTGGCTAACTGCTCGAGCAGGCCATGTATGGCCACCCTAACAATGACAAAAAAATTTTAAAAACGTATAAAATAAAACTCATGAATCGTTGTTTAAAATAAATAAAAATAAAATCTTGTCACATATCACCAACCAAATAGCGTATTTGCATGGTGCGACGTAAGTTATTTTTTAACCGACTTAAAAAAAAGATTCTCCATTCGTCTGTATTTTTTAATTTTTTTCAACCGATTTCGATTATTCTTTTTTTGTTAGAAAGAGGGTGCCTCAGTATTGATCCCATTTAAATTTGAAGAAAATATTCCACCTCTAAGGGTGGCAAACTAGGACACGAACCCGGTTCCGCGCACTTTGACTTCAACTTGGCAAATAGATGTAAATTTTTTTTTTTTTTTTTATATATAATAGACACACGCTTGGCCACAATCTCACCTGATGTTAAGCGATTTCTCGAACATGTAAGGTCGGGTTTTTTTTTATAAAACAGTTATATTAAATCAATTTTATCAGTTTCGTAAAAAAATATTTTTTTTAGTTTCATCCTTTTATAACTAAAGTACATACAGTTTATAATTTTTAACAAGCAGCCTGCACTATCCATAGATAGAAACTAAACCCACACACAAAAACAGTCAAATAGACTTATTATAGAAAATATATTTATATCTAAAACAATGTATTTCAAAGTTCCTATTGCTTGTAATTGCCACATTAACTCACATTGTACTAAATTGCTGAATAGCTGATTATTAAAAAAAAAATGTTAGTGTATGTATACAGAGCATTGATTTTGCATACTTTTGCATTATGGCTAAATAGAACCTATTAAACTTCATTTCATCAAAAAAATGTAAAGGCCTGACCATGAAATCGTGGTTATACATTTTAGGCTCGGCCAGTCTGTCCAGTCAGGTTGGGCACATCATGCTTCAATAGAAAATGGCATAAGCAAAATTACTCAATACTTTTCCAGGAAAACGTAGTTAGTTTCATTCTCTTTGTCTGTATTTAACTAAAATGAGTCAAGTGTATTACATATGTCACTCACACGCTCATATCTACGTACGTACTGGACTGTCCATGATTCATTATTATGTCTGATATTATTTGTGATTTCCTCTTTATTTCACTGCAATTTTATTGTTACTGGGGTTTCTCATAATTGTATCATTACACCTGTAAGAGTTCATTGCGTAATTAATAATAAGACAAATGCCTAATAATAAAAATTGGTTTCTTAACACTCTCTTATGTTAAAAAAAATGCTCTTGCTTTTGTAATAAACGTCATTCTGTTCTCTGCTAATTGTATATTACTTCCTGCGTACAATGCAATTCACAATATGCATTATTTTACATATCCATATTGAGGGAATATGATAAACTCAAACAGTTTGGTCATAGAAAAAATAGTAAATTAACAGCTTTTTATAGAACAAATATAGATGCATAATATGGAGAGACAGAAAGACTTCAACAAACAATCTTTTAATGTGGTTAATAATAACAATAATAATAACGTAACACACTCATAACCCCGCACTAGAGAAAACCTGTGTCACAGGTGCCATGGACCACACATAGACATCCACAAATTACACCCAAACTCACGAGAATAATAAACGTAGGCCAATACACACACTTCTCCCGGCCTGAGAATCGAACCCAGAACTTCTGTGTGGCAGTCCAGCATGGTAACCATTAGGCCACGGAAACAGTTTAGTTTAAGCAAAATGCCAGAGTCGTGGGAAACTGTGACGTTTATGCTGAGCCAGCATGCCATGACTTCCAAAACTATTTATTTTAAATAGTTATACGTTCCTTTTCTTATAAAAAATTGTTATTTTTAAATGGTTCAATATAATAATAATTATGGTACTAGTTTTAGTAGATCCTATGTAAATAAGCTGTCAAGGCAGTACATAAAGTCTATCTATCTACTACATATGTAATATCTCGATAAAATTACAAATTTAAAAAACCCACCTCAAAGGTTACTCAAATAACATCTATTTGCCTAGTTTTATTGAAATTGGTTAACGGATAATGGGTGAAATCCAGTAAACTGTAATATATAAAATGTATAATGTAAAATAAAATGTAATCCAGTAAAATGTATAATCCCCTAAGTGACCATCCTTCCGGATAGAATATTTTCTCAAAATTTTAAAGGGACTTCTGATCTTTTTCTATTCCAACAAATGAAAGATTCATCAAATTCGGTCCACAACATCTAAGGTAAACATATATAAGCACACATCTCTAAACAAAACATAATATCATATATCGAGTTCTTAGGTTTTCGCGATTGTTACACAGGAAATGAAACTATTTTTCCGGATTTAAATAAGGTATTTAATTAATAACTATTGTAACTATAGTGAAAAAATAGGGTGGTTTGCATTAATATTAGACATAACTGGTTGAAGACTGTACCATCTCAGTCAACCGTGACCATGGGACCTGTAAAGGGCCCAAAACGTCGGTTTGTTTGAAAAAACAAATATACGCGATTTAAATCCGGAATAATAGTTTCATTTCCTATAATATCATATAGTTGACAAAATGTATTTTGTCGTGTTGCATAAAGAATGTTAATTTGTATTTAATACTAATTTGTATTAATTTGCAATGCAATTTACTGAAGATACCAAACTTGAAATTCCAAAATAACATTTGCTTGCAGGTTGAATATCATGTATATGACTATACTTAAGATTTGTATAATTACTGTACTCAGGCAAATAAGGATATTCTCTTTTATATTATCTTAAAATGTAGTAGGTGCAGTAGTATTATTATAATATATACTATATTATAATAATAATATATATTATTATATATATTATTATTAAATATATATTTGAAATCTATATAAGTTAAGATACTTAAATTTTTAAGCAATTAATCTATTTGTGTTGCAACATATACTTTCAACCATATAATTAGAAAACGTAGCAATATAATGAAATATTTTAGATTGCAATAACTCAGAAATTATGCTTAAAATTAATTAGGTCTTGACTTATGTGTTATACACTTGTGTGTTATATTGTAAAAACGAGTAAAAATCATTAACTGCCTTAAACTTGCCTTAATAAACATATTTTCAAATGCTTCGAAATAAAAGAAAACCTACAATAATGTACTGATTACATTCTCTTTGAAGAAAACTATGGACCAATTTAATAAACAAATCTGACATTTCGATAAATAGACGACAAACTTGCAACAAACAAAAATAGTGATGTACAGAGAAAAATCAATAACATCCCCAAAAGTCTCAGCCTTAAAACGCGTACGTATTTGGTTATTTTCATATTTATGTTCCTTTCTCTTGAACATACTCCTTACGACAAAGCAAGCTACTAATTTGTGTTGTGTATTGCGCAGTTCGATAACTGGTTTTTAGCCTGACAGCAATAACTATGTATAGTTCAAGTCTTCCATTCAAAAACTGAAGTTACAAACCGTTAAGTTAGTTTACTACGCATAAAATTAAAAACTTTGCGAACATGTGCAAACGATGCAAAAAGTTTAAGAATATTTAATATGGTGTGCAACAGGTTATCATCTGTCATAATCCGACAAATACGTGAATAGGATTTCTAGATTTCCACTTGTGTTTTCGTCTGCATACGAAACGAAGGTACCGAGCATGCGCAGTTGCAATCACAATAAATCACAAAAACTTAAAACTATTCAGTCTTCTAGTGTTAAATGAATGAGACTTACCTTTTTCTGATTTTATAAGGTGTGTCCTGTGTTTTCTTTCGGCATCTTCGTATCTGTTTTTCCATTTTTCCACGTAAGTCGAGAGCGCAATATTCGCCTCTTTAGTGTTGTGATGCGTGTCGGGAGGCGTCATTCTCGCGGCAGTGGCTCGCGGGATCCTCGTGCTGGCTGCGCCGCTACCGCCCGCCGCGCCGCCGGGACAGAGCGAGACGGCGCTCCTCGCGCCCTGACACTGATTGTTGTTCGACGCGATCGCAAATACATTATCGCCGTTCCTTTTAATCATTTTTTATTCAATTTTCAACACACCCACGCGGCGAACGCTCGCATCCTCCCGTTCTAACGTATGAACCACTTCTCACGTGTTTGGATCAACAGGCTGGTGCTTCGATCGTTAGAAAGTGTTAAATAATAATCATAAAATAAGTCTCTTTGTTCTCGTAGTTGGGGAAATACGTGAAATATTCCGTTCGCTATACTAAAAGTGTGTCACGCGCGTTCACTCGACGACACGACCTTGATAAAAATTACGAATGCAATCAATTTATATTGAATACGCGTAAAAAACGTGCTAAGATGCAAGCGAGAATTTGCGCTGAGTGTCGGATTGCAACTAACGTTTCTTGTGGTTGTGATATGATAATGAAAACTTCGTCATCGTGAGTCACTCGGCTTGGTGTTTACGCTTTTTGTTTACATACATCGCCTTAATCAAACCGCCATCTAGAAAAAAATATCGCTCACATTTTGTAGAATTCTAATAAGGATTTTGTAAGAAATTAGTCATGCATGTTTAGTAAGTATCAATAAACTTATCAATGTGATAATGGAGTACCTCGAACCCTTTAATCGCTCTGTAATAGTGTTCTAGTGGTAGTCAATCGCTAGTTTTCATTTTTGTTATTTCCTTATTTGTCATTAGACCCTTATTTTCTTATTTGTAATAATTTGGTGTGTAACCTTTTGGTGTCATGTCAGACAGCATGTCTTCTAATATAATTTGTTCTGTGATATTTGGAAATATTTCAGTGCTCTTTTCAGTTATCCGTATATCACCTATTAGATCCCTAAGATTAAATAACTTGGCGAAGTTAATGATGTTTAAGTAAGTTAGTAAAGAGCAACAAACCCAGATTTGCTAAAAATCTTAACTTTATATTGATACTTACAGCTATAACAATTTATCCGATATAGTTATAAAAGTGTACAAATAGATATCGAGAATGCTGAAATTCTCGCAGTGAACGTACATGCAAAAGCACTAAAATACAAGACAAGAAGACGAAGTAACAACTAAAATTGTCTGCAACCTTTGACACTATTCAGCAGATAAATTGCCAAGCGCTCGCGCGACACAATGTTCATAGAAAAATAAAACACTATCACTGAACCGCACTACAAAGTATCCACAGCGGTACTGAACACATTTGGACTTTCGTCCATGTAGGGAACGGATATTCTAAAATTACACTTCCAAAGAAACGACCAACGAAACACTGACTGTGGATCGACTGCCGACAGGTCTGTGTTCTGTGTCTGTGTGGGCCGTAAAGTGATTTAATTGTCGAGGCAACTGGGCTTAATCTTGCTATTGCTAAATGTCCAGATGCGTTAGATAGCTAGATTTGTCTCAAGACAGCTGGTATTTCTTAGTCCTAAGTAACATTTGTTAAAGCACTTACTGAATATGTTATCTTTGAAGGTCTTGCGGTCTTGCTCGTGCGAAGTGTAACATTATTGTAAATCGGGATGAGACGTAAAAACAGTACTTATTCTAAAAAATTATTTATGTTTTTAACTCGTCTTATAATTTAAAGACTGGACAACTGAATCCGAAAAGATTAATAATAAACTTTCACCAAAAATGCAGTATTGCATAACCCTCAATGTAAATTAAAAACGTGAAGCTTGAGTGAACCGAAAAAATCACAACTTCGGAATAAAAGAGGTAGGATAAAGATAATTCAAGTACAAAATAAAAATACAACTTCTTCGTTGGCAGTATGAGTAGCCTTACAAAAGTTTCCATATTTAGAAAATGGGGTCGTAGAGGTTTACCTTTATAGCCCAGCAACCCGCTTGGCAAGCCGATTACCTTACGATAGCCAACTTCGTACTACAATATGTTCGTTATGACTTTCATCCTCGATACTCGGAACTGGAAGTGCTTTAATACGTTTTTTGTCGAACATTGTGGTGAAATTTATAGGTTGATGTTCCTTGTACAGACACGATCTTCGTCTTTAACAATCAGCGGAGAGTGACATTGTCACCTATCAAATGCATATTAATACTTTCATTCTGTTTTTATCTAGAGCAAAAGTATAAACAAAGTCTAAGTTCATTGTCAGTAATTTAATTGAAACTAAGGGGGAAAAAAATTCTATCTTCACGTGTCCCATTTCTTTATTACTTCCTTAACATGTGTGACTCAGGGGAGAAACATTCTTAATTTGATATTATTTTTATGAGCGAATAACGAACGAGATCCTGCGAGCGTTCACCTCTCCAGACTCTGCGCTATTTCCGTCTGTTGTTATCCTGGTGTGATCGTAAAATATGAGACTAGGAGTAGGAGCATAGGCTAACTAAAGTTAAGGAAATTCAATCAATGTTATTATGAGTACCTGCTGTAATTTTACACCGGTCTAGGTCTATAGGTTAAAAGCATTCAGTGCTTACAACTTAGTTAATAACAGGTTATATCCGTCTCGTTATATGCATGATTTATGATCATCTTGTGTAGACCTAACCCACTTTCTTTTCATAACAAATTCTGTGAAACAAAACTCTCGAGGTTAATTTTAATTATACTGACAATCTTCAACAATAAAAATGCAAACGAGCAATTCAAGCTTCAATTGGCCTATTCATATTGCTGTCACGTTTGTACAAACATTAATTTGCGTGATATTTGGCGTGTGACGAATTGAATTGTTAATCCTCCAATTATTTAATTCGTCACAACATTTGTGTCCCCATTACAAATTAAAGATGTTGTGTTGTGTTACTGTTTAACTCCCGGTCGGACCCCGCTTCAAATATGCCCCTCGTGATGGTGGAGGCGAGGTTTATTGGCGAAGTTTTCTACCATTCTTGGTTGCAAACTTGCCAAGTTTAGGTGTGACTCGGTAAAGATCGCTCGACATCATTTTTACTATAATATTTACTACGGTTGTCGTCAACTAACATTCAAAACTGAGTATATTGTTTATACATACATCGTTTGCTTAAACATACGAGATATTTCCACAAAAAAATCTCCTTATTATGTACAAGTTGTAAGAAATTCACCAACTTTCTGCAGATAAAACTTTTATCAAACTTTTATTAAGTTTATAGCTTTTTTGTTATTGAGTTTCAAGTGCAGGAAGATAGTGCTCTTCTTACCATAGCTATATAAATTAAACACTTTGTAGAAAATGTCACTAATGTGGTTGTACCTTTAAGCAGACGATGTTTTTTCGGACCTACATGGCGTATACTTGTTTATTGAACCAAACCAGTGTTTCGGGCCTTTTACGAATCCCAAAGTTACAGCTGACTGGGGATTGAAAAAACGGACATACGCGATTTAGATCAGAAAAAATAGTTCATTTCCTTTGTACAACAATCGCAAAAGCCTAAGAACTCTATAGATACCTATATATAATTAAAAACAATTATGATAAATTATTTTCAATCCTGCCTGGTATCTACCTAACGGCACTGAACGTACTTCCTGTTTTTCTGTTGCTAATGTAAGTTATATATTATTAATCGTGTCCATTTATTTTTTGCCACACCATAACTGTATATGACACTGCATTCAAATGATTGAACTATCATTAAGTATATTGACCGTTAGATTTATCAACGACCTTTAAGCAGGTAAGACTACTTTTCCAGGCATCAGTTATATTTTATTTGTAACTTTAATTCGACTGTATATTTTGTTCGTTAGTCTAGCTAGTCGTTTTCATACAATCACGCTTTCCTAATTGGAATCCATTTAGATCGCAGTGTAGATAAGTGTTTTGTTGTTTCGTAAGATAGGTAGAATGGACTAAATTAGTAATTACGTGTGCTTTTGTTTATTCTTCACTGTAAATGTGTTTGTAAAAATTTGCTATTTTTACTTGTTCAGTGTTATTACTTCAGAGTTCTATTTTTATTAAATATTTTTATAAGTATTTTGTTTTATTTTACATTACTCATCGTTGATCTTAGTAATTAGTAACAAGTCTTTTTCAACAAATTTTGTTAAGAAACTACTCGTCCATATGTGGCATCGTATGAGTTAAAGTTTGAATAACAAGAATGTTACTAAACAATCTTTTGAGAAACCACGTTAAAGGGTAAACTTTAAACAAAGACTGCAGTTGTTCTGAGCCCGTCTAAAATTAGAAATGAGCCGGTTACGTTTGAATATTGAACTGTTGTATGACAGAGCCGTACAACAACGCTCATTATTATGTGAACGACAAAAATTACGTACTCGTTTATTAAAAAAAGTAAAACACAAAAATGGTTTAAGTGTAAAATATTGCTTTGCAAATTTTAATCTATTTAGGGTAATCTATATTATTATTATAATGATTGGCACTATTAATACATTCTGCTGTTTATTTGGAGTTTTGTATATAATCACAGATTACAGAATATAATATAATAAAATTTATCATTTCTCACTTTTCACAGTTCACAGTTATGCAAATATAGATTATTGTACGAATTAAAACAACATAATTAACTATTAAAAGCATTTAATTCAAAAATATTATAAATTAATTCAAAATCTGTAAGTATGATAATTCTCACTCTGAGTAGTAACTATTAAGACGTGTGCTCTGAATATACGTGTGTACAATAATTTTATATTTTATTTTATTTTAGTTTTCACATACAACAGAAGATACAATTATATTTATTGTGCATGAAGGTGCACAATACTGCAAATTTTACTTGTAATCGTAAAATTTTACTTGTCGTCGTGTTCTGAGTTTTGTAAAGATATAAGTAAAAAGTTGTAGTCGTAAATATAGGTCTATCTGTCACCGTCATCTTAAAGGTATTAGATCTTCGAAATTGAATCGAAAAAAATTAAATTTTAAACTAAATTTCGGCAATTTTTATTTTTTCGTAAAAAGCAATACATCTCACTCTAACGTTATAAATAAACTGGTTGTTAGTCAAAACAATTTTAAGTATTGATAGACATTGACCTCTTCATTTCCATAAATTTATTTGTTATTATTAAGTATATAACTATTCATAAGTATGGCATTTTTTAATTTTACTATTTTTTATAAAACTCCTTTTATCTTTCTCTAAAATTAGTAAAAAATAATACGGTATTATTTAATAAAACTAAATGTTCATAAACAAAACACATGTGTATAACAGTTTCCAAGATTAAATTTTTTTCTATCAAAATTTATAGAGGTAATTTAAAAGTATTTTCGACAAACTTAAAAAGTAATAAAAATTCTTAACAATATATCAGTTTTCCCAGCTAGCTGATTTTGTAAGACAGGACGTAGCGAACCTAAGCGGCAAAACAAAACAATGCTTCACCGTTGCTATGAATCATCGATGACCCCGGCCTGCTGATAGTTTAGCTTCTTTTATGTCATTCTTTATCATTAGTCACACATTCACTATATCATATGAATGTAAAAAAAATGTTAAAACATTGAAAACCGGAGGTCTAATGTAATAAGACACTCTAAATGTCCGTCTAAAACAATAAAATC